CGACCGTCTTCCTCGGGGTGGCAGGACCCGCTTCCGGGCGTCGACGAGATCGTCCTACCGTATCTCCCCGCAGCGTCCTCGGCGTCCTGGGCCGACTCCTCTCCGACGTCCGCCGTGTCGGGTTCACTCGCGGCGGGTCGACGGGTCCCTGACGGCCCCAAGGTTCAACGCCACGACGCCACCCGCCCCGCCCACGCCGGCGGAATGGAACGGATCCGAGGGACGCCAGGCGTCGCCAGGCGGCACCACCGGCGCTCCCGAACCGACCCTCCGGTCAATACCGGGCGCCGATCGAACGGACGCTGATTCGACCGATATTGGCCGCGGCCAAGGTCAGGGGGGGTGTCTGGCCCTTCGAAGGGCAGCTGCAAGATGGGGCAGGTTTTTTCCTCTTTTTCCAACTTTGGAATCGAGGGAATCTAGATCAGGACTCGGAAGGGACCAACGACTGCCCGGGGTGCCTCGGGTGGTGCCAAACCGGGGCACTCGGAAAAAGTCCTACCATAAGGTGCAACGAATTCAGAGGTTATTAAACCCGGCCTTTACGTTCCCACGTATCCGGTTGGAGGATCGCCCCGGTGGCGGACTTTCTCCCGGAGATGGACGAGCCGCCCCCGCGAGCCTCCTCCCGGAACCGTGAAATTGCCAACTGTTGCGGTCGCCGAGAGCGATTCGGAGGAATACCGATCCGAAGGCGTTGGGTCCTCCGTCCCGAGGAAAGGGTCCGGGGCGTTCCCGTCCGCGAGGCTTGTCCGGCGACGTCGGGCGAATGACTGAGTCCCGGTCTTTGGCCGTCGGTCGGTCGGTCGGTTACTGACGCGCCGTCTTGACTGGGTCGCCGGCTCGCGTGTGCGGCCGATTCCGCCGTGCGGCCGACCCGCCACCCCGCGGACGGCTCGTGCACCCGCCGCTCGTAATCGCCGCGCCGATTACCAGCGGCTCCAGCCATCCGGCACGCACCCGCGGAACCGCCGCGTCGATAAACGCGGAAACGCGGACCGGCCGCCCTGACCTCCCGCACGCCGCCAAGGAAGGACCCTTAGGAGCGAGCCCTCCGCTTATTGATTTTCTCCGATTCGAGCGCGTCTCGCGAGCGGAGATGACGGTGGTTACGGACGCGAGGACTAAACTCCCCGTGTAAACGGTCCTTGCCGAAAGCCAAAGGAGAACCGCACTCCGGACATTGGCCCTCGATCGATCTACTCGCGAATGGAGATTCGAGGAAGGGGATGGTTACCGCACGGGAAAAACGGCGAGGGCCTAATGCCCTCTTGTGCAGTCGAACCGGCGATTCCGCGCATCGAGCTCGATCCCGGATCGAACGATAAAAGCGAATTATGGGCCGATTTTCCGCGGGAAAAAATACGCCGGGCCCGGTGAACTCGAAACCGGGGTGCCGGGGTGCCGACGGGTAATTGCTCGGACGTCTGCTAATTTAGTTCCGGGGCAGTAATAATTTTCGGGCCGACCCACCCTCTCGTGTGCGCTTAGGTAAACCCGCGTCGTTTTCCGCGTTACTGCCGCCCCGGTAGGCCCTTTATCCCCGTAGGCGCGGTAGCTGGATTCGCCTGGTTTATTTAACGAATTGTCAACGGCCCGGTGAAAGTGCGACCGGGGAAAATCATCGAATTCAAAATGAGGATCTAATATTTAATAAACAACCCCCCCGGTAAAATCAATGTCGCTCCCAGAGGGAGTACGCGTGTTTCCAGGTCGCGACGAAAGGGTACCCGGGAGGAGGAAAAGCGGGATCGAAAATTCAAAGAGAGGTATAATCCCTCGGTCTTCCAGTTCCTGGTAATGCAGCTTGTTATCGGTTATCGATGCCTAAATTCACCGGTAAAGGGATCCCGGCCTCGATGCCGGAAATAGCGGTCCGGGGACCGTCGCGAAAGGAAAAGAGACGAGGTAACTTTGTATGGAATGGCCGGGGAGTTTGATCCAGAGGCAACAGGGTCCGACCCGCGAATCTTTCGATAGGCAACCTTATACTTTCCTCCTGGGAAAGACCTGGCAATTCCGATGCCTCTCGTCGGTTTTCGACCGCGGGCTATCGATTGCCCCCGAATCAAAATTTTAGCCCTTTCCGCGCTTGTTCCCCTCCTCAAAGGTGATACGAAAGTGGCGTCAAAGAGGTCTCGCTTATGAAGCCTTTTCCGTTTTTTTTTTTTTTTAAATTAAAAGTGAAATTTCTTGAAGGTCGCTCCTCTCCCGTCACCTCGACGACCGCGTTGTTGAAAATTCCAGGGGAAAAAAAAGGGAAGGCGCGGAAACACGCGGCCAAGTCGTGCCGTATCGAAGTCTCTCGCGATCTCGCCGCAACGTTTGGAGAGACCGAGCGCTGGGAAAATATTTGCTCCGCGCAGCACGCGAGGTCGCGCGCCCGGGAAGCGATATTTGCATGGCGGAGAATATCCGGCGAAATTTCCACTCGGCTCCAAAAGCGATCCGGCAACGATCCGCGGGGGGCGGGAGCCATCTCGCAAAATTGCCAAAAGACCCCGCGAGATTCCTCGGGGGATAAACGCATCGCGAACTTAGCGCGTAAAATCAACGTTTCCTCTATATAATCTATACTTAACGTAGAGAACCAATCGTGGGGGGATAAACGTTTAACTTTTTCCCGCACCACCGTATTTCCGCGGGTAAACCGTGAATTCCGCTTTGCGGGTATCGGGGAGGACATGAATTTTCCTCGAGCTAGGAGAATTGGCGACCTAAGGCGGGAAGTGGTGCCAAGATCTGCGGAGGACTCCGGAAACCGTGACGGATATCCGGAAGGACCCCGCCGCAGCCAAGTTCACGATTCCGCGTCGAAATGTCCAAGGGCGCGATACGACCCTCCACGTGGCGACGCAAAGCGACCCTTCCGGTATTCTACGAGACGAGTCGAAGATCGTCCGCCCTAGCCCTTCCCCTTAATTAGCAACGATATCGCGCCCTTAACGAGTTTATCCCCGGCGGATTAATCGATTTCTTCGGCAATTATCGGCTATCGGTTTATCGGATCGCGACTTTCCGCCGCCCGGACGGACAAGTGCTCCGGAGAGGCGCGGATGACTCTCGCGAGCCCTCGAGCACTTCAAAGACGCAAATTCAAGATTCAAAGGCAAGATTCGGCCAGCTACTCCGGATTAAACGGCCCCCGGAGTTACGCGTCCCAGAGCGGAATCCGCCGGCCGGCAATAAGCCGCACGCACGAGGGAAGAGGGCCAGTCCGCGGAGGGCGGGCGGGAGAGAAAGTCCGCGGTCCATGCGGTCTTTTAAACATTGATGGGAATACCGCATTGCCGTAAATTCGGCGCGGGGAAGTGTTAAGAGAGGCGGCGGCCGTTACCACGGAGGCCCGCAGTCAAATGCGCGACCCCTCCGTCCAACCCCACCCCGCGACTGCGGCTCCCGACCTATTTGCCCCCCTCCCTTCCCTCCGACCCGACCGAGCTCGGCCCTCCTCGGCTCGGCTCGGCTAGACTCGGCCCCACTCTTTATCTCCAACTTTAACCTTCCCTCTTGCACCCTCGGCCCGTGCACGAACCGAGGGTGCACCCGGAGCTGGTTCTGGAAATCTGCTTAATCCGTTTAAAACAATAAATGCGGAATACTTTCGTAAAATCAAATGAAATCAAATTAAATCGCAAAATGGAACAGGGTCTCTCGTTTCAGGGGGCGGGTCAAATTGGCCAACTTTCCCCCAACGCGGGAGGGTGAGATTTATTTTTTTTCCTCGTTCTGTTTTCGAGCCCGGCTAGCTCTCGACACCGGCGACGAGTATCTGGAAATCGATGAGGACGACACCCCGTACTTGCAGGCGCCGCATATATCGCGATATGCACGAAGATACGTAGGCTCGTTTTCCACATCGCTATTCAAATGAAGCTATGGAACCCGAGAGCCCTGCCGGACGGGCCGCCGATAAGGCCGAAATTCGCATCGAGTCGAATTCCTATAATCGATGTTTAAGGGGATGAAAAGTGGCGTCAAAGGGTTCTCCCTCGTGAGACCTTTCTCCTTGTTTTTAAATGACAAGTGACATTTCTTGGGGCCTCCGTATTCCCGGTGCCGTCCTTTGCCAAAACGCAAACGTTGACGAAAGAAACGTCGAAATCGGAGCTGCGGATAATTCCGGAGGAAGAGGGAGGGCGGGGTAAACATTGACTCGCATCAATCCCTCATCGGGGGCGTAATTGTTAAGGGTGCCTCGGCGACAAAGCGAAATCCCCGGCCGATTACCCTAACGAGTCGGCAGCACACCGCCATCCCGAAGGGACGCGGTTCGTTATTCCGCGGGCGGAACGCGAGGCACGAGGTATATCCTTAAAGAGGGCGCCGATCGATCGCGGCGAGCCCGCGGAAAAGAAGCGCCGATTCGGCCCGCGTGCGGTTCCTCCGCATAGGCCTGCCCTCGGCTCCGATCGGATCGAACCAAACACCGACTAATTGGGAGACCCGATCGGGGCTCTGTGCACCCTTTGTCGCCTCGAAGCCACCCCCTTTATTGGAAACGGGTCGATCGAGTCCATCGCTGGACCGAGAGGGACGCAGAAGTTGCGAGGAATTGGGGAATGGTTGGCGATTTGCAAACGCCCGCCCGGTGCCGGCGTTTAAACGCTCCCCTTTCATGGGAAATAATTCCATCCCAGTTTTTTCCGAGGGGGAGATAAACAAGGGCCGTAAAAGTTGGCTCGAACGTCTCTCGCCGTGACGGGTATCCGCTCGGAGCCATAAAAGGACGGCGGGCCGAAGCCATTAATGCCAGCGCCATTTTCAAATTCATCCCACGCGGGATAAGAGAATGGTCGTAATAATAGAAAAATCCAGATCCACGGGTACATGTACGTAGCATGTTTTGCGGGGTACCCTGAGAGAAAAAATTGGTTGACTCAAAGATTTCTAGGTACAACGAAATCCTGCGACCGACCGGGTCTCGCTCGTTTCGGTCAACCGATCTTTCCTCTCGGCGTGGAGAAAGAAGAATGGACAGAGAGTAGGTCGTGACTCACTGGTTGAGGGTCCGCTCGTTGCTGCCGGTGGTGGCGGATCCCTGTCCCCCGGAGGCGCCCCCACCCGAGTCGTGATGGCGTCTCTCCTTGTGGACGATGCCCATCAGCTTCATCCAGGGGTTGTTGGCCGCGTGGGCGCCCATGCCCCCGCTCTGCCACATGGCGCTCGCCAGCCTCGCGCGTTGCGTGGGTGCCCCTCAGGGGCACCGCGCTCTCCGTCGGGGGGAACTCTGCGGGGGACCTCCCGGTCGTCGAGGAGCTGGGGGTGGAGCGCGGCGTCCTGCACGGCCCCGAGGGCTCCCAAGGCCGCCTCTCGAGCGCCTCCACCATCTAATCTAGCTGGCCAGCCTGCCTCGGCCTCCGACCGGCTCCTCCGAGGGGCCGCTTCCGGTCCGCTTCCGTCCACTTCCGGCCCTTCACCCTTCCATCGGAACTCCGGCACTCGCGCACTCGAAACCACTGGAGCCGCGACTCCTGGGGAAAGGACTTCTGTACCCTTCCGTGCACATCCGGTTCGGCGCGCGATTTTCCCGCAAACTTGGGCTCCGGGTCGTTCCCGTTCCCGGTATCACCGGAAGTAGTTTCTAACGACGACGGCCAATATCATGGGAATTGACCCGCCATTGGGGGAGATCGATCGCATTTAATTCGCGACCTTCTCAAAGACGAAGATTTTCCTGCGGTTCGACCGCCTCGTAAAAATCGACGTCACCTTCCGGGACCGAGGCGGTTCGCGGGTGCCGAAGAAGAGGTTCCATTAGCAAATTAAAAACCCGGGGACACGCAAAACGCGTTCCCCTGAGCACACGGGAGGAGGAGATTTGAGAAACGGAATTGTTCCACCGAGTGTTGGCTCGCTCTATCTACGGATACGTTCCCACCGGCAAGATTTCCGGATTAACTCCGGAATTAACTCGCGCCGTTCCGCTATCGTCACATATTCCGGAAACCGGGCGTTAAAATCGAGTTGCAATATCCCGGAGAGATAACCACCCGAGACGCCGAATATATGGTTTGCCAAACTTCAAATGCGAGTTCAAGGCGTTATAAAAGGGTCATTCTATACATTTCAAAACGCCAAGATATTTATAAATCTCTTTCTAATAAAAAGATTTTTTCGGTAAACCCAGTTTGGAGAAAAGTTGCTCTCGCATCCCCTCGTTCCAGGTTCGGGCGCGATCATCGCGTCGCATCGACGAGAGATTAATCGACTCGGCTTTGAGGGCGCGGGAAACGCGATTCCCTTGTTTCCCTCCCTCTTCCTCCTCCTCTACGGCGCCATTCGCGAGTATCCCGACGAGGTCGAACCCGGGCGAAGGAACATCGAAATTTTGTAGGACCCCTGCCACATCTTGCTCATCCCCGAGGCGGACGCGCTACTCCTCGGTGCTCACCGTGGCCCACTACGGGATCTTGACCGCCTTCGGGAGAACGAGACTCCCTCTATCTCTGATACCCCCTCGCGGACTCTCTCACGACGGATAAGCAAATTCGGATAATAGGCTACTCCATCCGTGGTCCTTTCCAAAATTCCGAAGCTTCGCGCCGGCTGCTTTATTACCGGGACGGAACTCGTTGCCAAAATGGCGAGGGGGGCTGGCAATGCAGGGCATACTTGTTGAAGAGGTCTATTTACCGACGAGCGGACTCGACCGGTGGTCGCGAGCCTTATCGCGCCGGTGATAACGCCGCCCTAGTCTTCCTCCTGAGTATTTTATTGGCCCACAAAACGGTTTACCGATCGTATTGTCGCGAATCACCTCGACGGACGTGCCTTGCCAAGGTGAGTACACGGATGCCCTCGTCGAACCCTTTCGTTGGTCGAGGGGTTCGTTTGACAGGTGGTGGCCCTTTCCCTTGGTCTCCTTCGCTCGCGGCGAATGCTTCATTTTTCCGGAATAGAATGAAATTGGCACGAGAGATAACCGCGCGATTGGCCCTCTGCCAGTGGTTTGCCCTTCGCTAACGACACAACGTCGACGACCGACTTTTCCGCGCTTTTGGTCGAGGCGGGGTTTTCATTCGGCCGTGGGAAGGAATAATGGGCGAGCCGTGCTTCGGACCGAGAGAGGAGTCCTCTCCGGCTTTTATCCCGTCCTCTTCGATGTAACCCTCTAGAGGGAGCAGGAAAGTCGTGGGATTTTTTCCAGAGTTTTCATATGCGCCGCTTTAGTTGGGCACGCGGGTGCACGAGAATGCAGCCCTCCATGCACCGTGGTCGTTGGCAAGAAAGTGCACTTTGTGCGGCCGGAGGGCGGAAGAGGGAAGAGGGAAGAGCGTCGCGCCTAACCCCGCGGTCTTAACGCGAAGACGAAAGCGTTCAAGATCCCGTAATCACGTATTAGAATAATTCGGTGCACCCAGTTTGGAGAAAAGCGGCATAAATATTTCGACGTTTCGCAGTATATACAATGACCCTTTCGCAACGCCTTAAGTCCCCGGGCTAGGGTCGGAGAGTTTTGCACTTTCAACCTCTGGTCTCATCGCGCCCGCTTGCCCTACATTGCCGTAACTTGACCGTGGAGGGAAACGAGGAGGCTCGTCTCCGAATTAAAAAGTGACTTCCGCTACGAGCCGCGTTACGCCCGGCGCGTCCACCCATGCAGGATTTTTCTGCGGACCCTCTAAGGAAGGTCCTGACCCCCACGAGATTTTTCAAAATCTCCCTTAAATGATTCGAAAAGGTTTACAAGTATTTTGACGTCATACGTGTACATGGAATGACCTTTTTATATCACCTTAATCGGAAAGGAACGTTTCCGTACCCCCTTAGTGCCCCATGGCGATCGGTTATCCGGCTCGCACGTAAATCAGCGACGGGTCGCGAAATTCGCGGGGACCTCGGGGCATTAATTGAAAATTCCTGCAGCACGGTCGAAAGAATCGATCGGCCGAGACCGACACCGGGAAGCGAGCTCCGGGAGGAATTATCGGCCCTTCCGGAGAAATACGCGCGATCCTCCGCGGCGGGCCGAAAATGGCTCCTCGAAGTGGCAGAGTAACGACTCCACCCCTTGCCCCGGTTCGGAGCTTGCCCTGAAATACAAATATTTCCTCCCACCTGCCAGAAGTGCCCGGACCCTCTCGGGAGTCGAACTTAAGGCCGACCGAATTACGTGCCGGGGGAAAAAAAATAGAAACAAACGGGTATTCGATTTTCCCTTCGCGAGGAAAAGGCGTCGCGTTTCATTTTATCACTCGGAGCTCGTCGCGGGAATAAAGCCTCTCGTTAAGAGTCGTATCGATGGGACAGGGGAAAAAGGTCCGAAAGTGGATACGGCGCGGGTACATTCAGCCGGGGCGTTGTTAAATCCGAAATGAAATACTTTCTCCGATACAGGTAATCGCCCGGGGGATGAAAAAATCGATGGAACCAACGGAGGAGAGATCGAGTTATTCCTCGAATAAAGCCACTCATTGGGCAGGAAGGACGAAACGCGCGCCGATGGGTAATCCACCCTGCTTCCGCGGACCGAAAACAGTTTCCAGGGTATGTCAAACTGGAGGGTAAATTTCTTCGAGCCGCGTTGGCTTTATTGGCTCCATCGGCTTAATCCGACAGAAGGGCCGGGACTGTGGAGACGCTAACGAGTTTCGATCAATCGGTCCCGATATCGTAAAACAACGGCGATTAAACGCGACGTGCCTTCGAATCGTCTCGGTTGTTCCTCGGTCCCTGCCGGATTGCATTTCCCTCCAGAAGTGGCGTGAGTACCGCAATGAAAAAAAAAAATAATAAAATCCGGGAAGGAGTCCAATTATAAAAGAAACGGAGAAAACGCGAGCGCATAAACCGACACTAAAGCGCGCCGTGATTGGCTCCGTGTCACCACACGGAGAGAGATCGATGGTACGCATGCGCAAACATCCCGTGCGGCTAATAGTCCGCAACGCAACGCGTGCGGAAGTAATCTCCCTCGGAATGGCTCACTTTAAAGAACTCGGGAATTTACCCTCCGGATCTTTCCCTCCGATGGGGGATTATCGCGCGTTCCGCGAGATGCGAATTATCGTCTCTTTGCTCCCAATTAAATTTCTAATCTGTTTCCCTCCGCGCGGTCGAAGACCCCCCGCGTGGAAGTTTATCCCTTCCCATTTCCCATCCAATTCCAGAGGGGAGAAATTCTCGGATATTCCGGAGGGCACTTAGCGTAAACGCGTGCACGCGTAAACGTGGGGCGTGAATCTTAAAAATTTAAACACCGTCTTTATCTATCTCCAAGGCACGGTTTAAGGCGTTACGAAAGGGTCATTCCATATACGTCAAAACGTCAAGACATTCGCGATGGCTCGACATATATCCATGTATATAAATATACGAAATATTTCTCCGGTACGATGAAATTTTTTTCCTCAGGGTACGCGAGTAGAAGCAGTCCGGCCGACCGAGCGCGCGCTTCGTCCACTTGGGAGTCGGAACATTGTTCCACCGTTTCCCCTCGTTCCCGACAACCGCCGATGCGGACTCCATTCGGGGGCTTTATTCTCGCGGCAGACTCCGAGTAATAAAATGCGGCATAACCAGGGAGGAATACAACCGCACGGCTCTCGGGACAACGGAAAGCAGATGGACCGATAGTTTCCGCCCGCGAGGAGAAACAGGGGGACAAATCGGTCGACGCGGACATTCATCCGTTTCGTTCGGTCGATACAGCCTCGTCCGCTGAGAAAAAAATCCCTTTCTGGTGAAACAAAAAAGGGATACCCGGATCGAGCGGATACTCGCGTCGACAAATTTAGTGGAAGGGTCGATAGAACGAAGTTAAACCAATCTCGAAACGTTTCGACGGTCGCTAGTAATTCATCTCACCTAGAAAGTTATTTTCTCGCTCGGGGTCGTCGATTCCTTCCCCGAATGGATCCGGAACGAAGGACTGCATTCTCTTTCCCTCCCTTCGCTCCTTTACCCTTGCCACAATGTCCGATATCGGGGAAGAGACCGCTCGCCATTATCGCGGCCGGAATTCCGCGTCCGACTCTAGGCGCGGCCAATTACGCGGGGGAAGAGGCCTCGCGGAATTGCAGCTTTTTGCCGGTGCATCGATGCAGCCCGGAGGGCTGATCCGCGCCTACCCCTAATCTCTCTCCTCCGCCTGTTGCTCGTTAGAAGTGGCGCCATTGTCCTCCTTTCTAACTGGATTAGACCGCCTGCGGCTCCTTTTATTGAATATCGCCACCTCCCAACGATCAAGGTGTTACGCATACACCAAACGTCAAAACATTTAGAAAGCCTTTTCTCAAACCCATCGGCACCGAGTTCCTCTTTCGGGCCCCCGAATAAAATGAAATTAAATAATCAGGGAGAGGCACCTCGCGTCCCGATCTCCCCCCGACCAGGTATTCCAGAAACGGTCGCGTGTGCTCGCCGGGAACACCGGAACGTGGCGGAAATTGCGCGCCGCCGTCCCACGGGTTGGAAAGAAGGGGATAATCACCGGGACGCGTGGAAGTCGTCGACTGGCGGGGGAGGCGCAGAAACGATTAGGGAATCGTGTCCGGTTTACGGCGCCGGCGAAACGGGGACGACCCTCGTTAGCCCCGCGACAAATGGCGCTCCCAGGAATCGGGCGAAATTCGAATTTTCCAGATATCGATACGTGAGATGAAAGCACTCGTCCTATTAATTCCTAGGGTAGGTTGCCCCAACATTCGCGTTAAGATCCTTGGGGTGGGTGGATTCGTCCTACCGGAAAGAACGTCCCGGTGTATCGCGAGTGAACCGATACGCGTCGGAGATGCGAATCCACCTTTAGCCCACGTCGGGTAGCAAGAGGCGGCCCGGGCGGAAATCCGCGGCGTTCCAGCCGGAGTCTGGAGCCTCTCTCTCCGGGGAACGGATTGGGCGGATGCGGCCAGGTGAACCCGGGCATAAGCGACTCGGGGATAAAAGGTGGGCGGCGGGGAAATCGCGCGGAACTCTCCGGGCGGAACGCGGAGGCGGCCCCCGGGATACGGCTCGCCGGCGAGAGCCACAAATTCCCGACTTTTGGATAATAGAAGCCCCTAAATCTGGGGCCGCGGAACGGCCGCAACTTCCCCCGACAATGTCGGGTCAGTCGCGAGAATCGACGGGTCTCTCCCACGTGAAGATACGTATATAAATAAACCCCGGGGAAATAATTCCTTGAATGTCACCTCCACATTCCGTTGCAACGTTCCAAACGATTCGGTGCACCCAGTTTTGCATTTTTCGAGCACGCCCGGAAACCCCGTCCCGTCTTCCACCTTCCCCGAGCAAAAGGGGCCTTCCAGGACCCCCCAGGAAGAGGGATTATTTCCGAGGCGTCGGCAGCTCGCCAACTCCGGGAGCGATCTCGCGGAGTTGGCCGCCCCGGGAAGTCACTCGAATTCACTTTACATCGGAACTCGGATAAAGGACGCCAAACCGTAATTGGTTGTCCCCCGAAAGCGACAGGCTTTCTGGCAAAAAAGGGGAAAAAAAGCGACGCCCTCCATCGAATGTTCCTACATCCCATTCCGGCGCTGTTGCGATTCCGATTCTTCTCGGCGTTATGAAAATCTCTCTACACCCTGGGTGCACCGAATAATTTGAAACTCCAGCACGTAATTACGCGGGTCCTACCCCTAAAAAAAAAATATTGTTTCGTTCCCGTCTTTGATACAATTTTTTGTGGAAAAAAAAAAAATGAAATTTCGCGAGGTTGAAAACTTTCAATGGGAAGAGCAATTCAGTTATGCGAAGGACTCGGCGGGACAGGGCGAATTCCCACCTCGATAGCGTCGATCCCTGCGTGTTTGCCGACAATTTCGCGTCCGTTTCGTTCCGCCAGTTCCTCGGTAGAATCCGACTCGCCGTTCCCCGTGAAAGATGGCCTTCGTAGGAGAAATATCGCCGCATCGCAGCGACTGCCGCGATCAATCTGCAACGACCGCGACCCGCGGGGCAACTCGGCCGAACGCGCCCGCCCCGTCCAAGGAAAGAAAGGACAGGCTTAGTTTCAGCCCGAGAAAGATATCCATCGAAGGAGAGAAATATTTCTTCGGTACGATGACATTTTTTTCCCCTCGGAGTAGTCGAAGAAAATCCATTTCCCTCGAAATTGATTTTTCCTCGGGGTAATACATCCACGGCCCGTTAATATCGATGTTTCCCCGCAACGGATAAACGTCAACTCGGCGTATAAATTATATCGGCACTCCGCGAGTCATCTCGAAGCCCTCCTTAGAGGGGATGCAATTACGATCGAGCATCGATCGATTCGAATTCGATTCCAGGTTAACCGGGGCGAAGTCTAGCGCGGGATGCAAAGTATCGGGTCCGCTAATTTCCATCCGTCCCTTCCGGGACATTAGATGGGCGTATCGGCGAACAAACCGAGGGTTCCCGATCGTCCTTTATCCGCGGCCCCGTCGAGTTCTCCACGACTCGCGGCCGAAGGAGGGCGGTTCCGCATCCGCGGCGTACCTCCCGAGCACGAAACGGCACCCGCGGCGCTTCGCGTTTCCGGGCACGCTCGGTAGGAAAAATCCCCGGAAAAGGAGTCGAAAATCGCGAGACTCCTCGCCCTACCTCGGAAATCGCGCGGATCGATCTCGGGGCTTCGGGCGGCTTCCAGAGGCGACCGGGGACTCGAGTCCCCGACGACCGGCACGTCCTCGAAATCCGCGACCCGGCCGGCTTTGAAAATACGCACGGTTCCCCTTCCCGTGGCCCTTGGTCGACCAATCGGCGCCGGGCTGCGGCGCATTCCTCGCCGCGGGGATCCGCATAGTGTCCCACGCAGCGCGGAACATCCGCGGTGCCCCCCGCCGCGGAGTCAACCGGCCGAGGGGGGTTATTCACTCGGGACGGTTTTTAAGGTGACGCAAAAGTGGCGTCAAACTCACCTACGAACCGAGCGGACCGAATCGTTTACGAAATGTCACGAGTGTCCGTAAACGGATTTAAAAAAAAAAATTGAAATTGCACGGGGGTCGGACCCTTCCCTGTAGCCTCCACGTTATCAAATTGAATACGATTCGGCACCCTCCACTCGGAGAAATATTTCGTCAACGATCGACCCCTCGGATGCTAGAAATCGCTGGGATCCCCGAAACGTCCCTTGTTCGCGGATCGCGTGATCGTTTAACATTTGAAAGGAAGGGTTCTCAAAGAAGGAGATCGTTCCCACCGATTTCCGAGGGGATAGCCCCCTGTCACCGGCGTCCCTTGGAAAGCGATACCCGAGGACCGCCGCGCGCGCACTGCCGGTCGCGAGTCGGCGTTCACTTACGGCGATGGCGGGGCCGGCACGTGCTGCGCGGGCCTGGTGCGCGCGACTCGGGCCCGCGGGCACGGGACTGTCACTGACGCACGCGGGGCCGGAGTTCTGGCCGCGTGACGGAGCCGAGGCGCACGAGACTCCCGCTTCGTCTCTCGCTACTGCCGGGCTCACTGCAGCCTGTGACGCACCGCCCCCACCACCCGAGCGAGTACACAAGGCGTACGGGACGGCGGCAGCGGCCGGGCCAGCGCCGCACATCTGCGCCCGTGCCCGCGCCCGCGCCGTGCCGTGCGGCCGCCTCCGCCCCCGCCCCGACCCCGACCCCGGGCCCTCGAATAATTAACCCCCCGGTTCTGGAGATCACTCCTTCGATCCCCGAATCCCGATTTTTCAGTCCGCGTGGATTTTCTAACGGGAATCGGTAGGCCAAAGAATTGCGTCGCGTTCTTGTCAGGATTTTTCAATTTTCCCTTCAACGGGGACCGGCGCCGGAGTGCGCTCGAGGTCCATCGCTTATTCACCGTGCCTTTAAAGTTTCAATCCCTGGACTTACCCCGAGACGAGGTGTCGGGAGTCGACGGTGGCTTCCGGTTCTTATCGACTGATTCGTATCCAGGGTCGCGTCGGAAGGTGCAACGAGGTCTCGGCGAGCTCCTCCTCCTGTAAAAGGGACGCATCGATGTCTCGGACACCCTGGCTCCTTGTTCGAGATCGACGGATCCCTTCGGGATTCCAGGGCGTCGAAGGGTTCCCAGGGTCCCGTCGTGCCTGTAACCCGGAATAAATAGGGTTTAGAGTTTCCATTGAAGAATCGCTGCTCCAGGCTCGAGGGCGATACACGTAGGCAAGGTGGGCAGAGGTACGCGCCCCTCTGCGCAACGCAGAAATTTCCGCAATCCCCACCCTCCGGCCCTCTGCGTTTCCCCCGTGCCACCGCGCCTTCCCTGGAGCCCCGAGAGGGTTCTTAATTTTCGCTCGAAAACCGTCCAGGGACTGGCCGAATTAGCGGGTCCGGATCGACCGGGCTTCTTACATTTTTTCCGACCTTTTCGACTCCGAAGAAAACGCCTCTTTAATGGGTCCGGTATCTTGGAAAATTCGACTCCTTGCCATTTTCCATGTTTTAGATTATCGGATTGTTGGGAATATTAGAAAAGGAAGGAACCCAATTCTCGTAATAGCCATACAACGTACCTAGACGATTTAAAACAGCTACTGTCGCAAAAACTGATCCCACTCATTGTCTTGAATTCCACTTTCAAAGCTAAATTTAATTTATAACATGGGCCTCGATTTGGACCTCGGGGATTAGTGGTGGGAGTGGAACCAAATATCCGTGATTGGTTGAGCCTCCTCCTTCGAATACTGCCCCGTACGGGTACACTGGCGGGCATGAATGGCTTCCTCGTGTACATACATACAGCCTGGTGGGGGTAACGTAAACGTAACGTAAAAAATGTGCTCTAGAACCTATGTACTTGCGGTATCGACGTAAGGTCCTCCTTGGCACACGATAATATCATTTAATTGTACAATCACATACCCCAACTCCTCGAATGTCTCTGGAATTTTCCATTCACTCGCATCGACGAATACTCTACTGTACAAAAATACACTGAATCTCATGTCATCCCGGAATATGATCTGTAAAGTAAAATTATATTTACGTGTCACATTTTCAGGGAACTTTGAGAAACAATATTAATATAAGAAAATGACGCACTTGCTTTATGTATTGCGGGGGTTCCAGTTGATCAAGAAGTTTAGCCTGCGAGATGATAACCGATTTGTTTGGAAGTCGATTCCTGTGAATGCCCCATGTTTCATCTGGGAAGGAGAGAGTAACTTTCCCGTGATATAGCTCTTTAAACAATTTTCTTGGACCGGTGACGTTCCCCTCTGGACTCGGACCGTTTCCAGAATTTTCCTTGATTTTGTCGTTACACGTTTCAGTATCGGAGCGAGTCTCTTCTATGGTAAAACGGATACAAAACAGTGTCAGCCACAACCGACCGTGACCGGCGCTTGACCAATGTTTTGAGATAACCTCAAAGTCAACCGTGATTACTTAATTACCTGATCGAGACTCTGACAAATTCTGATGATTTGATGCAGCGGAGAGAAGCAGATTGTCCATGGCTTTTATCTTGATGATATCCTTGGAAATATGTTAACACTGACTCTAGGTATTTTCCACAATCAATCCGTAGCGATCTGTAGCCAAAAGAAAAACAAAATGGCGACGTGCTGCTCTCGATGGACAATGCGGCGAAAGCCGGCAGCTCGCGCTCTCGTCGCAACAGGTTTGAATAGGTTTGGTAACCGTTGCTGCGACGAGGACCAACGGTCGAAAGCACTACATCCAAGTTCCACAGCCCGAAAACTCGAAAATCGCTTCTATCTTCCCTGAAAAAATTGCAGCCCTTCGTTCCAAAGATCAATTTCAAGGGAAGGACCTTTCCCGTCGGGCTGAAGTGACGGCAGGTGCGAAAAAAATTCTTAGTAAACATTTTATTTGTAATTTTAACTGCGCATGAAACATGATTCCTTAATGTTTCAAATTAATACCCGTTTAATGATGGGTTCGATTAGATAATTGAGGTTTTATAAAATCGTCTTAATGCGTACCTTATCATTAAATGATTAACGAGAGAATGTAGGTACTTGTATAAAATTAAAATGCCATGGAGTCTTGGGGGTAATAGTTGACATCGTTTTAATGCAGGAGTGAAACACTGTACTAACCGAGTTCCGTTGCTCCTCTAAGTAAGCGTAGCTACAAAGCAATTTGTGGACATTTTTGCGTCGTATCGGGCAGGGCAAATCGCAATGTTCAAGTATATTGGTCCAGGCTAAAGTTTCCTACGACAAAGTAAGGAAAATTTAAACGTCGTATTTACACGTTTAATCGTACTTAGCAATATCGTACCTCCAACAAAAACTTTAACGTTCCTTCGAGAGAAACAAAAATGCCTTCGCATTCCGCGTTAATTATAATAACTAGAATCCTTTCGGAGATGCCGAATGCGACGTTACCCAGACAATATAATTTAACTGCAATTAATCGTGGCATCGAAATAACCAATTATGCGGTATGCAAAATTGCACGGGCATTTCGATCGGTGCGTATATTAATTGCCAGGAATCAAGAAGTGTGTAAAACGTTTCTGATATTACTGTTTTATCTACAAACTCGTAACGAGGTACGGTGAACATGTCTCGTTCGTATCAAGTGTTACTTACTGTACACAATTGAGACTACAAGTTAAATAAGTAGGTAATCGGTAATACATAACGGTATATTATGAATAATCGTTACTAGCATATTTATATATTTATATATAAATCACAGAGCCTTATATAAATTGAAAATGTGTCGCGGATCCGCGAAGCGCGAGTCGATGCCGAAAGGAAAGAATTCGTCCCCAAGAATTATTCTCACGGATACATCGAAACCAAAGTACGCAACGAGAACTACCTAAAGTATTAAAACGTCAATCCCATTGTAATTACAGTTCCCCTAAAACGTAACCGTCCCTAGATTAATGTAAAATCTTCTCAACAGGATAACGCTATTGCTACAACGAGTCAACAATTTCTTCAAGGAGGGGAAATAACAAGAAATATAATTTCAACCGCACGTTCAATAGGAAATGGCTCCACGACAACGAGAGAGACAACTAACCTTCGATCTTCGTGGAAGAGGAAATCCATGGGAAGGACGCGACTCGATAGTCAATGAAAACGACGAAAACTTCGAGACTGGCTGTCGTCGACATTTTCATGCGGTATATAATGGCTCTGCAATCGATTTCTCTTTTTTTTTCTTTCCGTATCCGTATATCACCCTTCATATTAATATACGCTAGTTAGTTTAACGTAACGCTAATTAACGCGACTCGGACGGGTGGTGGTGCGCGTATTTTGGATTTACCTTATCATCGGTACTACTTCCGGATTTAATATTGAAAATTGAGCCCAGCGATTGACATCACGCAACATTTACTTTCGACGTTTTCCCCGTTTCCTTTTTTTTTTCTTTCCACCTGCACCTCGACGTACCGACGTCCGAGCCGAACCGATTAGCATCATTTTCTGAGTATAATCACGTTACGATAAGTATTTTTCACATAATAGTACACATCCACGTTTGGAATATTGGCGCTTTTGCAGGTGCGCAAGTCGATGCATGGCAGTGAACTTATTTTAAAAATCGCAATCACTCGCACGATGGAACGATCCAAACTTCTTAAGGCTCAACCCATTTCGTGTCGACGAGTTCAAGATGGCCGTTGACTCGAACCTAGCTATGCAAGGATAACCGATCGGCATGGATTCCACCCACGATATCGAGACTGGTGCCAGAGGCACGTCCTTCGAGTTCGTTCGTTGATCGGCAAGTCCTTTTTTTTTTCGATCATTCCAAGGGGTTTATAGTCCCTTCGGGACTCTCTCTTTCTCTCCTAATTCGGTATTCGTCGGAAGCTGCGGTGTTGGATACGCTTTCGAAAAGCGGACACCTCCGATTAATTTGAAACGGAGGTATCCGCTTTTCGGAAATGCACCCGCGGTGTTTAGAATTCTCGTTTGCGGGATGCGAAACGCAGGAAAGGACTTCTTTTCCGAGGCGCGAACCGATAAAGTCGCGAAGACGGGGTGCTTGCATATTTAATTCGAGCCAGGGTACTTGCACTTGCGTCCCGCTATATAGTGAGTTTATAAGCTTATAACAATTGAAAAATGGATATGCTAGCATTACTCGGCCCGCGGTTATTGTACAGCCATTGCGTGAACCAAAGACAATCCGTCTCTCCTTTTCTCTGCACCTCGTATCGTTTCTTCCAGTTTTTGCGCGGTACTCGTCGGACTCGTTAGCTCGCAAGTACACCGCTATCGTCTAATCGCTATGCCTAGCCTAGATTAATACTCGTAATGTAAAGTCCGATAATACTATAATGCGAGGAAACCTACAATTAGCATGTTTTCAGTTCAATAGCGTTATTGCCTTTCTCACTGATTCCGTGTGACTTGGATAGCCTATAAGTAAAAGTCTCTCTCTTCCTCCTCCTTCTTCTTCTATTCAATTTCCTTCGTCTCTCGTTACTCGTACTCGCTACGCTAAACGTTACGTTACCTATACGTTACGACATCTTTCCCGCCATGTCGGTACAAACACGTCGTATTATTTATAAATTGGTTCAGAGAATCGTAAGCGCACGGTGAGAGGTTGCACGAGGTTCCTCGACAATTAATCGGTGCGAGTTCTGCAAAACATTCAATGTTAATTGCGGGGGAAAAATATCGTTCTCACTAAGGAAATTAATCGGAAAGTTCCTTTCCCGGACAACCGAGTCATTCTACCGAGTAATGTAAGATCATTAAAAATGTGCCGAATAACGATACCGTACAAACGGTTAAAGTACACAATTATATACACCTATGTACATATAAGGGAAGGTTTTCCGAGTAACTGAAAACGTGAAATACACCCAAAGGTCCATTAGCGCGGTCCGACAAAAGACAACGTTTCCTTGCGAATCACGCGTGAATCCACCTTCACGCGTGCACCGTCCGGCGTTTACGACGAGAGCGATCGTCGTCAAGTTTGAAATTTAGAGTCCGAACTAAACGATGGCACAACTGAATCTGCCCTTATCCGGGCCCGACCGAGCACCATGAAGCTTAGACGAAGAATAGAACACTTCCTCGACGTTCCCGCCCGGGTCGAAAACCTTCCCTTACACCTACAAGTCTTTCGCTCTCGCCCGGGGGCCGGGCCCGAATCGAGCCGAGCGACTCGCCGTAAAAAAGGCTCGCGTCCCCGAATAATTTACACAGCCCCTCCGAATTACCGCTAATTATCTACAGACGGCCACGACTATCTAGGGGTCTCGTAGTCCGGTCGTAGTCCGGTCGGGGGTCCCTCCTGGAGCGGGTAGGCACTGACTCTCAGCCGCGTGGGGCAGGGGGGGCCGGGGCCCCGGGGGCGCCCTTCCGGAGGAACCTGGCGCAGGCCTTGCCGCGCTCCACGATCATCTCGCAGAGGTGGTGTTCCAGGGTGAAGCCGCTCGAGCTCAGCAGCAGCGCCATCGCCAGCGGCCTCCTCCTCCTCGCAAACCTCCCGATATTAAGTGGAATTTCCCATTGTCAGACACCGCTGCTCGGAAAGCGTGGCGGGGGAAGCGGGGGCGGTGGCCTCTCCGGTTGAGCGGGTGCGCCGGAAGAGGACTCGGAGCCAGCTGCAAACACAACTGTTGGCCACCGTTAATCTTCCGCCCGCGAGGCCCGGCTCTCTCCCTCTCTCTCTCTCGGGAAAGGCTCAAGGGGGGAAAGAGAGGAAGCCGAATATGGATCCCCTCGTGACCGAATGTTGTCTAAGAAGCTCTCTACTTATAGACTTTTCCGAGGGACGTTCCCCAGGTGGATCGCGTCGGGACGGCGCAAATCGGTTGTCGAAGCAGGAATCGCGTCTTTGACAACGGGACGAAGCAACCAGATTTCCGCCGTCCACTTTTTAAACGAGGGGAATGTTCTCGCTCGAGCACGGCACATAGGACAAGACAAGCCTCGACTGTACACGTAGACGTTATCCATGCGCATCCAGAGCTTACTCTACTCATGCGGCGGTTTATCCCTAGCTCTGTTACTTTATCCGTTTCAGCCTGTTCGGTCTCTCGAGACGTTTTCTGTCAGCTAGATTTCGCGGACGAATCGTTTTGCCGGACCTCGAATTACAGAGAAAAAAAAAAGGGAATACAAAGACCAGGGGCTTCGGGTGCACCTTTCCTCGGCCGAGTGTTTACTTACCTAAGTAATGATTTGAATTCCCTACGTTCGAGGTTTCCGGTTTCGCAGCGGGTCTAAGAGAACATTCGCGAGGCTCTCGAACGTTTCTTGGATTCGGTTCTCCGCGACTTTGATATCAACTTGCCTTGCCTTAAAGATGTCGTAAAAAAAGTTTTACGACAAACCGAGGTAGTATTTTATGATCACCGGAATCGTTCTCTTCCATGGCTCCGAGTTCTTCGGGAACGGAGTTGGATGGAATACCGTTTCAAATAGCGTTTCGTTGGGTTTGTCCGGAATTTGCTGGGCAAAGTTGTTCTTGCCCGTGGAACGCAACCCTTACTCGTTACCAGTCGCACTTTCTACGGAGAGGAGGATACTTACACTGCAGTTAGTGCTTTTCTCAATTATCCGGCGAATTCCGGGGTATCCTAATGCATTAGAGTTACATGTTTATGCCGAGGTGAGGATAAGACGGTTAGACAATGGGGATGAGATCGGCCCGAAAGATCTTCGTGAAACGCGGAAGCGAGGTGCACGGTGGGGAACGGATTGTGCGAACTTAGCTGCCCTGAGAAAATAATTTCACCGAACCAGAGAAATGATTTTCTCAGGGTAGACGAGGGCGTCGATTTTCCCCGAGATGAATTCAATTCCGCGTTTCTAAATCTCGGTGAACGCGAGTGCAGGTACTGTCCGAGAAACTACCAATTGCGCCCGAGACCCGCGAGGGATCTACAAATAAACGATTACCAACGTACGGCGCACATCGAGAGATCATTAATGACATGCGGAAGTATGTGATAGGTAGATTTTGCAGCACGTCGCAAACAATTCCACTAGAGATGACGGATCGCTGAAGCATTTGCTCGATCCCAAAATGCGGAACAAGGTGACGGGGTTCCCGCCGTCGTCAAAGAACAAATCCACGCTGAGAAAGAAAAGTTTCATCGAACCAGAGAAATATTTCTTTCGTTCCATGAACTTCTCTTCTCGGTGAAGGAGAAATCGGTAAAGCGACCCTACGTGGTTCTAGTTCTCTACTTCTACGGGGGAACGTTACCAACTATCGTACGTGGCCTAGGGAAATTCCGGCGTTCCGTGCCCTTGAATTCCTCTTACGATGTTCAAGAAACGGTTTCGGAAACGAAGGGTGAAAAATTGGGGGTTGCCCCCCGAGGGACAAAAGTAGTCTACGTCTCTTATCACGGGACGAGAGACAAGGTTGACACTCATCCGATCGCAAGAAATGGGCATGCACTAACAATGTACAAGCGGAATACGAGGGAGAACTGTGATACGTGCTGGAAGAGTGGTGGTTTAAGGTGGGGCGAAAGTAGCGTCAAAGAGATCTCGATTAAGTTTTCGGATGCCACTTTCGCATCCCCTTAACGTAAAGGGACCGCGACTCGACCGGCCGATGTTCTTGGCGACCGACTCGGTTATGCAAATTGGAGTCGGTCGCAGCTGGTCCGGCAAAACAAAGGAAACGAGGACCAGCTCGCCGGGGAAATAAGAAGAAACTAGCTATCCGGGACACTTGGGTGCATGCTACAGCTACAGCCAGGTCTGAGGAATTGTTTGCCTTGTAGCGACGGAGTTGGTGATGGTGATGGGTGATGAAGGGTGATGCTGGTCAGGTTGACAGGCCTTACATGAATCTGGATGTGGCTTCTCCTCGGCCACCACCAGGGCTGCACTCTCTGCCGGTGGTATGTGTCCCTCTAACGCATTCACACAGTTTAGCATGCTCCTGGAAAACATCACGCCACGTGTCCAAATCTCCACTTCTTCAAACGCAGCCATCGAGCTGTCTTTGGCCCACCTTAGTCTACCGAATCCGTTCTCGGGAAATACGTATCCCTTTAAATCGACCGTTCGCGTATGAAGGAAAAAATACGAGTCGAATCGAACCGCGATCGCAGCTCCGATGAAAACGATTCCGCCAAATTAATCTGCAACGCCATGCATCGTACCAATTTCTTCCCCATGAAATCATAGATACGCACGAATACCCCAAAGACAAGTTCAACAGTCTACAGGTAACGCAAGTTGGACAATTTTTATATCACCTCCTGTGCACACAAGAAATAAAGTACGTACGGTATAAAGTACATAAAATAAAATCGAAAGAAAATAGAAATATATACATATGTATGTAACAGTACAGAGGGAAATCTTTAGGCTCACAACGACACGTCTATGGGACCGTCAGATCAGACTATAACGAATACGACATTCTCAACGGAGACACTTGGAATCATGCCCTTAATTCTCGACAAACGATCGACTCGATACATCGGGGACCGACAATGCATTTCACAGTTTCCATCGGATTCGCCTCTTCAAGGGTGAATAGCGTTCCTACATCCTCTACGTGCTGCAACGAATCTCTACCCTGAGAAAAAAAATCCATCGAACCAAAGAAATACTTTCTTAAATCAAATAATTACAAATGATTCTCGTCGTCCGGAGGGTGCCAACAACTCGTGCGATGGTGGAAGTAATGAGCCAAACAAAATTATACATACGTACGTAAACGAACGGATTTATTGTACAACGAGGAGTACCAAACGTCGCTGGTAATGCCGAAATATTCGATAAAGTAATGTCGCGAGAGCACCGAGGAAAATTACTGAAATTTCTAGACTCCAGCAAAATTGATTTAAAAAATAGAGAATGATTTTTTCTCTCAGTGTAAGGATGACAGTGCGATCTCGTGGTAGACATAATCTAGAAGACCTGAACGTATTTAAAATAAATCTCGCGGTAACGATAAAAAATCGGTTCGACCTGATAATGAACGCCACTAGAGGCTCGCTATCGAGGAAACGTCGTCTTGATTGAAATTCTGCCGAGGATGAATAAACTAAGATTTATCGGTAGCGCGATTATCGTTGGTAGTGCTGGCATCTGATAAGACGGTCTCCTTGCTACAGTTAGTGGCGAGCTCCTCTTCCCTGAAATATAACAATGTTACATGGCGATGCCTCTGCTTTCTTTTTCTACTCCGCAGGAAAGCTTCGCCTTCTCTTTTGCTCCCTTCTAAGGTGCAGAAAAATCGATAACACCCAACCAACATTTTTTTTCTCAGCGTAACCTTCATCCACGGAAGCGATTTTCCGGCGGAAGTAAAATAAAAGTAACGACATTGGGACGAATATATGTTAAACGGGTGTTTCAAGAAAAATAGATTAAACCATAAATTCTACGATGGGGGATGGACGACGATTAAAACGTTCAATATCCGACATCGCGCCTACTCGTCGCTCTAATTTTCGTCATCTGAAGTTCGATTTTTCCTTAGTCCTCGAAAATCTCTCGTTAGTAGCGCTTTTAACACGTTTGTTTTAACAATAACATGCAACTGCACACGGCGCGTATTCTCATGCCAACCATAACACGAAACCTTAATAAATGTCTCTCACCTAATTGCCCATTTAAACGGACTAGAAAGAACATGCGGTTAATTGCAAAACTTCATACAATCCAGTACTCCGAGCTGTTACATAATTCTTTGAAATTCGATTTCGATCCCTCGAAAAGTCATTCGAATAAATTACGTAATAGCCCCGAAGACTTTACAGAAACTGTGAAATGTATCTTAAGGAATGAAAATAAAAATGCTATGGCGTTACGGAGAAAAGTTTGGACGAGGAGTCAACTTCATGCACTCGTTATTTGACTTTCTAGAGATATCGCGATTGCCTAACAAGATACTTCGCAAGAGCTCAAGTAAAGAGATAAGTAGCATGCCACAATTTCTTAAATCCTGCCGCCATTACAATTTCCATACTGAGATACTGATCGCATAAAAATTCCAATCACCCCGCGATGCAATTTATTAAAGCTGAAAACTTGCAGTTTTGTTAATTCAAAACATGACCAGCATCCCACTTATCAATTGCTCCGAGATTAGTTTCAGCAGATTTTTGTTACGTAACGAGCTTGAGCATCTGTCCTTAATAATTAAGAAACCATTATAATAAGGCACTTTGAGTCGATGATTTTTTTACAAGTTTTCCTTTAACAGCGACTTCGGCATGGACATCATATCGATACCATTTCAGAGTTTTCTTGTGCGTTATCCCCACCGCTGCAACGAAACATGTCACCGTTAAATCTGCTTGGAAGTAATCCCTTTCTTGAGCAAGTCTAATCGATTTCCTTCAATGGCACATTTCCATGCTTCCAAAAATCGTTAAAACTGTATAAAAGCCTTCGAAAACGTCAACTTTATATACCACGACTCACCCATATAATCTGCTGTCCCGCAAACTGCTCCTGCTCCAAAAAGAAAACACGGTTTAATTAAAATTACCACGCCAACAAATCCAGAACACTGACTAACATTCAACATGTACGCCCTAAAAAAAAACCATTTAGTTGTAGTTACTACAAAAACTTGGATCAATCGATAGGAACTGTCATTACGTTTGTTCAAAGAAATCTGTGCAACTGAAAAAAATGTCATTGTTGTATTTCGCGTTTTTCGGTAACTGCAACTAAAAATTCTTTCCTAGGTAGTAAAGCTATTTTCCGGACTTGCAAACAAGTCTTGCACCGGGATCACAGTACTTTCATCCATAAGACGCCATAATTCGGCACATCGCGATTAAAAATCCTCGATTTGGCCGAATTTGCAAAATACGATAAAGTCTAAATCCACGTGAATGAGAATTTTGAGATTATGAATTGACCGAGCGGAATTTAATTAATCCCAGGCCCGGGCACGAACACTAATTACTACTTCTATCCCCGCCGTCACATCGCTACTGTCACAACGACAACCACAACATCAACGGAAGCAGAATGCATTGCAACACCAAGGGCAATGCGAGTCCTAGAGCCAAGAAAGAAGGTGTGCTTCTCGATGGAAATGAGATGGAGGAAGCAGCTCAGGAACCCGTGCACTGAGCGAAATAATTACTTTCCAGGCGAGACGAATTACCTACGACCCTCGAAACGTTTCTAGTCGAAGAAATTTCTCGACTCCAGTAGAATTGATTTTGTAAGAGCCACCGGTGTTTGGATCCCAAATGATGGTATCGTATGACAACTATCGAGTGGACGCGATCTCGCGAATGAATTTCGCCCAAACGTCGAAAGGGCTCCATATAGAAAGGGTTAACCGGCCGACTCGTCGGCGAAGAGATTCGAGTCGAGCCTCCGGATTCGAGATCGATCGTCACGGGCTCCCAAATCGCCAAAGGTGGAGACGGAGGGGCTCTAAACCCGAACCCAAGGGGTGGACCAACGGGGGAACATCCATTTCTGGAGCTGGACTAAACCCCGCCGACATAATCAAGTTCGCAGCGCCTCACCCAGGAGTCTTCGGGATTCATTCGGGGATCCCAGCAAAGCATAGCGGAGGAGGGACGACCAATGTCTCGCAGTCCATATGCGTCTCGGGGGCATCAAAGCTGACGCCACCCTTCTTCAACCATCCGAACGTTCGACCCGTAATGTACCTAGAAGATTTAAACAGTGATTACAAAGTTCCGGCATCCAGGAGGAACGGCGACCCTGGAGCGGAGTTCTCTCTCGTGAATCGGCTGCTGTTGCCGGAGAACCTCGTTGGCTATGAATTTCGGAGTTACCTAACGATCGGGAGGCGTCAAGGGGATCCGAGGGGTCAATCGTTCGTGAGACTTATCTCCGAACTGGGTATACCGAATCGTTTAGCGAAGGGACGTGGAAACGTTCTCGGCCCATTCGAAGCAATTCATAATCTCAGTTCTGCACGTCGGTCCGTGATCGGTCCCTTGGTTTGCTAGTCTACGTCTACTGGACGGCACTGTACCCTCTCGGAAGTCGCGGCTTTACCTCCGACTACAACGTACCTGTCGTTGGCATGCCTGAACAAGGCAAGAATCTCCTCGAAGGTCTTGTTTTTGGTCTCAGGAACCTTCTTGTACGTGAAGATCCAAAAGAAAGCTAGGAATGCACTGAACGGTAGGAACGTGTAGTTTTCAAGGCTGGTCTGGAATAATAAAAAAGACGACCCTCGTCGTTAAATACTCAACGCACCGCCTCAATTCTTTGTCGGATAAATTTTTTAGCCCGAGCCTTTCCCGAGTGCGGAGTCACGCGAGGGTAGGAAGGAAGATTTGGCGTACCTTCATGCTCGGGAAGCCGATGCCAACCAAGAAATTGGCCATCCAGTTGATGAGCACTGCGATGGACATGGCGGCAGGCCTGGGGCCTTGCGAGAAGAGCTCGGCCGTGATCATCCACGGGATGGAACCGGGCCCCACCGCGAAGAACACCACGAAGCTCAGCGTCGAGACCACCGACAGGTAGGACATCCAGTCGATCATCTCCTGCACGTAACCGAAAAACTCCTATCAGGCAGTAGAAACGTGTTCTCCTTTCCTGAGCAGCTGGAGGAGTCTCAGGAGCGAACCAAAGTCAGTCATTCCATTAAGTGTGTTCGTGACCGTGCATGCAACGTGCCGCTCAACCCTGTATAAGGTGGTAACGTTAACGTGAGAGAGATGTAGAGCGATGCCGGGATTTCGGTGCCTCGCTATTTACAATACGGTCCACTCCCTGGAAAGTACCGGGTCACCCGGGCCCAACAATTCGGAGATATTGGACATCGAATCCTGCATTTTTATGGCCATCTCCGAATCGTTTGCCCGCAAAAGTGCTCCGGGTAGCTCCCTGAGAGGGCTTGGCTAGAAGCGGTGAGTATTTCACTTGCGACTTGACGGAACACAGCGAGTGCCAGGATCGTTTTCTTGAGACCTCGATCACGTCGTTCTAAGTGGACCAAGTCGATCGTTTCGGTAGTTTCCCTTCCACTTTTCGAACCAAAAAAAAAAAAATGGAAATCCATCTAAGCAGGTTTACCGAACAATTTCCCACCCAGTTACGCTCGACTATTCCCCTTTCAACGAGATTAACAGGTTTGAGCAAAGTGGAACCAAGTCTAGTAACAAATGCAAAAATTGCGTATCTCCTCCAGACAGTCACGAAAGAGGTCAAGAGTCGTGGGAGGGAGGGGGAGGGGAGAAAATAGTCGAATAAGCAAATTAATAAAACACCATGCAGCTGCATGTTCAATCGTTGACGTTTTGTTTCAACTTAAAGGAAGGTAAAGGGAAGACTCTACCGCAAAGTAACCGCAAGCAGAAGCACCCAAAGGATATTTCCCTAGGAAGTTGATACGGTGGAGGGGAGGATAAAAATTGAGCAAAGTGCAATAAGATTGAAAATAAGACATGCAGGCGGGGGGAACGACGACTTAAGATATATGGATGTGCGAGAGACAATTAAATCGAGGATATTCGAAGCAACGAGTAAGTAGAGCAACGTTATTTTCTCACAGTTGGTGCAGTGCCGCACTCGAGCTGTGAACAATGTGTTAAATGCACCCTGTGCCAAGCTGGATTGTCACACGAGATATGTCCAGAGATGAAGCATAAGAACTCGCTATATTTACAGCACTTACAGTAGCTCTCCTTAAGGTGATATGAAAGGGTCATTCGATACATACGGAATGCCCCTTTCGTAACCCCTTAAATCAACGTATTCCAAACTCTGACTCGTGCAACTTCTGCCGTCGGACTTCGAGAAATACGATTTTTTGAAAAGAATTTAAGGATCTTGAGAGAGAGTCAGAGTTCGGGAAACATCGTTCACGTTGCTGGAGCAATCAGGCATAATTCCGTGTCGAGATGTAAGCTTCAGATCTCGCGGTGCTTTTACGTGGAAAAGCTGAACGAGTGATATCTTATCCCTACTCGACATTACAATCTATCGGAGCTTTCTCTTCAGTAAAGAACTTTCGAGCGGTAAACCGAAAGCACCAGGTTAATTGTGTAAACAAATCCAACCTAACGTTAATGATATATGATATACGGTTCAACGAGTCGAGGGGGAACGATATTTAATTACCGAATATCCCGAGAATTATAACATTCATTTATGACATTCGATCCTTGCGATTGTTCGCGTATCTTGAAGTTTCACGGTATCGCCTCTCTCGACTCGTTAAAATACATTTCGATAAGGCACTTCGAGTGCAAGTTCGGACCAACCTTTATAAGAAACGAAATGGTGATGAATATGGAAAAGATGAACATGCCACCCAAACCGTAGAGGTGCAACGTTCTCCTCCCGGTTCGGTCCATCAAAGGAATGGAAACGAGCGTCATGCAGACCATAATGGCGCCAATGCCGATGGTCGCGAACTTGGCGTTTTCATCCGTCAGCCCGGAGCTGGTGAAGAGATTAGTCGAATAGTAGAACACCTAGAAGAAAACGAACGAATGGTAAATGTAACATAAAATGTCGCCTAGCAAGATCCCGTAATTTCGAGCTCACAGCATTGATCCCCGACAGTTGTTGCGAGAGCTGCATGACCACCCCGATGACCAGCGGCTTCCTCAGGGTGGGGCTGCAAATAAGTTCCCTCATCGAGATGGTGGATTCGGCCTGTTGGGCCCTTTCTTCGGCCCTCATCTCCTCGATATCCTCCTCGACTTGGTTGCTGGCCCTCAGCCTCCTCAGCGCCTTCCTGGCCTCCTCCTCCCACTGCTTCGTGATGAGCAAATACCTGAAACGCGCGGCTCGTAAATCCCTCGTCGAGTTTCCCTTCCCACGGGTGCCTTGGGAAACGAGGCAAGAAAGACGTAATTCCGCGATCGGAACATGGACCGAAAGGTGTGTAAAGTGAGCCCGTTACCTCGGCGATTCCGGACACATGGGAAGTAGCACTAGTTGCATGACGGAAGGGCCGACGGCTAATCCTAAGAGAACGGGCCAGCCCTCGTTTGTACCAAGAATTTGCTCGATGCCCAGCACCTGGGAGATCAAGAGGCCCACCGTAACAGCGAGCTGGTTCATCGTGCCCAGGCCACCTCTCAGGTTCAGCGGTGCTATCTCCGATATGTACATGGGGACCAGCGAGGTGTTCAGTCCGCAGTTGACGCCGATGATGAACCTCCCGAAGAACAGCATCTCGTAAGAGTGCGCGACCTTGGTGCAACCCATCAGACATGCCCCCACGATGCCCAGCACGTTGTTTAGCAGTAAGCCCCCTTTTCTGCGGGATTTGGCAAAAAAGTCACGGTTACGGACACCCGGTCTCCTGGCTCTACCTCGACCCAGCCGGAAACCACGTGCCATTGCCACGTGCCTTACCTGCCAAATCTGTTGGCAATGATGCCTCCACTGATACCACCGAGCATTCCGCCGATGGCGAATATGCTCACCGCCACCGAGTACAACGTCTTGGCGGAGTCGTCCGAGATGTCCTCTCCATACCTGTCCTTGTACACGTCCTTCATGAAGTTCTCAATGTTCTGCAAAATTTGCGGAAAAAATCGAGTCAACGAATGAAATCCCCGCTGAGGCTCGGAAGAGGTTGAAAAATATTGGGAGGTACTCACCACTTCCGGCGCGTTGATCACTCCCGTGTTGTATCCGAATTGCAGCATACCTAACATCGACGCCAGAATCGCGTACGACAGGAAAAACGTTAACCCCTGAAAGCAAGTTGCACGAGTTAACGTCGAAGACGTGGGCAAAGATGCAGGACATCTAGGAAAGGAAAAACGAAATTAGGCATTCCGTTGTCCGGTAAAATCAACAAAGAAACGATTCCTCCGCTCGAAGCGCTCCCTTTCATCCCCCGCGAAATTCCGCTTCCCTCTAATCTCATCGCGGCATATTTCCCACGGTGGAAACGCGACGAGACAGCGGATCAAACGGAAGGATCCGAAGGAGAACGGCGAGAGCTCCGAGCGAGTCGAGAACGAAAGGTCACTCGAACCCTCCGGGTATCTCGGTTTCCATAGACAAATCATAAAACATCAGGAGTTAAAAAATAAAGGAGGAAGTGGTTCAACCGAAAGGGATCGATCGGCCAGGGACAAAGTAAAATAACGCAAAACAACAAAATTCCACCGCTTTATTTCGAAAGGGAAACCGTAGAGTCAATTAACGCTAACAATGACAAATGAATCGGCACAAACTGAAGGCGAAGCACAAGTCGTACGTAATCACCCTGAGCAAAAATTACTGGTTGGCTGAAAAAAAAAAATATTACACCGTCATCCGCGTCATACATAATTGCAGGAAATAATTATTTTCTTCGGAAGGATCGATATCCTCGATTTATAGGAATTTTCTATACGTTCGTTTGGACTCGTCCTCGATCGTAAGACATTCTTGTCGCAGGGCATATTTCTTCCAGTGGAGCAAGGTTTTTTTTTTTTCTCAGGGCAGGTGGCCGAGAAAGTGCGCCAACTCGAGTGCATAAAAAGGAGACAACTTATACAGGGAAACCGGGCCAAAGGTTGCGATAAAGAACAAGGAATATCTAACGGCGAGGTGTACTCGAGGAGTCGATATCACCTGCTCTAGGAGGCGAAGTTTCCGTCGATGCGAGTGCTCCTCCAAACGATCCACGTATTCCCTCAGCTCCTCTATCTCCTCCTTCACCTGCTGCACCGTATCCAATTCGTGCTGCACATCACGAGACGCGATCGTTACGCAATCGGTCGCTCTACTTCCAGCCCCTCTGCGTGCACCGAGAAAAAAGAATTCATCGAGCCGGAGAGACGGAACGACCTCTCCGGTTCGATGGGATCTCCTCTCGGTGTACCTTTCGGCGAGGGAGGTGGTTGCCGTTGACTCCACCTCGCGGCGGACGTACCTTGATGGCCACCATATCCCGCTTGACCTCGCTGACCTCGCTCTGACAGGACTCGACGCTCTTGGTGAGTTCCTGCAGCTGGGTCCGAATCTCGCAGAGCGCGACGGTGGTCTCCAGCTGGCGGTCGCCGCGCTGTAGCTCGTCCAGCTTGGCGGTCAAGTTCATACTCATCACGCTGACCTGTTTTTGCAAACTGCGCAGAGACACGCTCGCATGTAGAGAGTCCTCGATTCGGAAACGAACGGTAGCGGGGGGCACGGCGACGTTTCCCGAAAGGGCCGGGGTCCGACCCCTCCGGGAGGGTGGCCCCCGGTAGATCGGTACCGACACAGAGACAAGATACAGATGGCACTAAAAGCATGTCAATAAGTGTGTCCCGGGTGCCCCGGGTGTCGGGTGTGGCGCGCGAGGCGACGGCGACGGCGGCGTCCTCGCGCGCCGCGCCGCAGGGAAGGCGGTTGATGTATCAAAGGCGCGAGAAAGACGGCTTGCAAATGCGATCGGGAGTGACAGGATGAGCGGCGAGAAATGAGGGGACGAATGAAACGACGGAGCGGGGGTGACAGAGAGAAAGAGAGAGAGAGAGAGAGAGAGATAGAGATAGAGATAGAGATAGAGATAGAGAGAGAGAAAGAGCAGCGATGACGTCGGTATGTACCTGGGAGGTAGGGAGACCATGGCTGTGTTCCGAAACTACGGTAGCCTCTATGCCTCGCCCCTCTCTCGCTCCTCTTGATTCGCTTTCCGTCCTATTCCCTCTGAGATTACTAGACTGACCTCGGTCAACGCGCTACGGGTACGTACGTTGCGCTCCCCATCGATATCCAATCAATGACGCGGACGTCTTGCCGTCAACTGGTCCAACCAAACCGGGGGACGCGTGCGGAGCTCTCGACTCTGTAAGCTTTACCTAGTTTGGAAACACAGTCGTGGTTCAGTCAGACATCAGAGAGCTGGATCGAGTCGCTCGAGTCGCTCGAGTTAATTAATTAACGCGCGAGTTTCCAATTTCTAAAGGGTGTCGCGTAGTGCATCGCACCATGCGACGCACCGCCAGCTTACTCACCCCTGCCTAGCTGCCCGCGTCCACAAGCGAGCTTGCAATTTGAACGGCCCATCACTTTATGCGACATGAACAGGACGGCAAAAAGAACTGACAAAAATCGGCATGAACTGCGCGTGACCGAGGGACGATGGGGTAATGCCAGGCGCCGGCACGGGTAAGCCGGCCTCCTCGTCGGCCCCCGGGTGGGCTCCCGGGTCGACTCCCGGGTCGACTCCCGGGGGCCGCGTTATCGCTCGCTTACCCGTGCGATCGGGTGTAGACGCAATGAACGACGAAATGAACGAGCAATCAGTGGTAAGCCTGCGAGCGCCGCAGCCAAGATACCCCGATCAAAGGTGTCGCGCCTGCGTACGAAAAAAATAGAGAAAGGAACCAAACGAGACCAGAGGCGTGCGCTTCGCGGGTGGACGACCAAGCCTTGCCTCGAGTCGCAGCGGCCTCCGGGACTCGAGGGTCACCCGGCGGAGTCGCGCCCGAGTCGTACCCCTCCGAGAGTCAAAGGGGTAGGTCTCGTCGGCCTCCTCCGCGGCGCGACAACCGGTGCCCGGACCCGAACGTACCTTACGAGGAGCTCCCTAAGCGTGGCTTCGTCGTCCTCTTGAATTTCTTCCTGCGTCTCATTACTGAACGCGCCGCGGCCGAATCCGTGACGCGGGGACGTGCTGGCCGAGTGGTAGAGGTGGTGTCCGTGGTGGTACCTGGGGATGGCCGAGGGGGGGTACCGGGAGTGGGCGCTGCGCCCCCTGGTCAGCTTGAAGGGGGCACCAGCCGCGGGGTACGCGAGACTCTCTCTGGACTCCCCGTGGGCAAAGCGGCCCCCATGTCGCCTGTCCACCCTGGACCGGTACGGTCCCCTCCTGCCGACGCAGTCGCACTCCTCCTCCTCCTCGTCCCCTCGGATCCTCTGCAGGTGCTGATGCTGGTGCCGGTGCTGCTGCTGACGGCGCTCCAACTCGTCGGCCCCGGAGAACCCGGAGATCTCCTCGTAGAGGCACTCCGAGTCGAGCTCCCGCACCCGCTCCACCGCGACGGCGACGTTCCACGACTGGCTTATCGGCCTGAAGCCGCGTGAATCGACCATCGTTCGTCCTGCTGCTTGGAAACGGCAGGGAACGGTAGAAACGGTCACGACGGAAGTCCGCTACCCCGCGCCCGGCCGCGGTCACTTGGAAAACCGCGATTGCGCGTCGACAAGTGCATTTGCATCCTCTTTAAGATACTTCGCCAACTTGGCGCAACGGGGTGTACCGAGGGTGGCGATCTTAAACCACCCCCGATACCGCAAGAATCCAGCCCGACGAGGGTCAATGCCTCGGGACCGATATCCGATTCTCGATCATGGTAATCCGAGGTCCGTGACCATCTCTAACCCCATTCCCCTCGCCCGTGGTCGATCTCGTCCCCCTCCAAGTTTCTTCGTTTAACCTTATCGTCCTTATCTCTTAAACGAGGGTATTTAAATACGCGGGCAAATCGGAACGTGATATTACCCGCGGCTAAAAGCAACGCAACTCGAGACGACCACGTACCTTGAAACGTTTGTTGTCCATTTTGCGTTCTGCTACGACTCGCGACTCCTTCGGTCGTTCTTACCCCAGCGAGGCGTCGATCGATCGCGACCGCTTATCGGCTGGACGTTTCGATCCTCGGCCATGCGACGATAAGGGGAGCCCACGTGGTCGGCGTAGAAGAGGATCGCCCCGGAACCGGAAGCTGCGCCCGAGCGCCGATCGCGCGACGAACCGCCTTCCTCCGCGTCGTTAATCTGAAACCGGCGACAGATTAATCCAGCGTTATCACCTTTGAGGTGATACGAAAGAGTCATTCCATACATATACCGAAACGTCAAAAAATCTCATTCTTCGCGACTGACCGTCTCGCGGTTCTTCGGACTCGATGGCTTACATAATCACCGAGAAGCTTACAAAAGACTTTAACTGCTCCAGGGAAAATCCGCGCCGACCGTTTACGCAAGAACGTTGTCCCGATACGTTTTTATCGCGACAATAACTTTCCTTACTAAATCTGACATTTCCTTGAACGCACTTGATTTTACTGTCGCAATGCATATTTCATCGTCCATCCGTTTTCTTTTTTTTTTTTTTTCTCATGGTACGCAAACGCATGTTCTCTCTGTACGGAGACCGGGCAATCCCGATGAAAAATCCATTAACGATTGGTCGAAGAGCATCCGTCCGATTTACTCGATAAGTGGGCTTATCGTCGGACCGAGCAGCTCACGTGCTTCGTTATCCTTTGGCGAAATCCACGCTATCGATACTCCCGGGTAATAAACGCCTCGCGGAAAGTCCCGAAGTCGATATCCAGGATATCGAACGGCTCGCTCCGACTTTCGAAGAAAACACGCGAGCGCCGTAAACGGTATTAAGGTCGATTCGGACGCGTCCGTTCCGTGCCCGTGTCGGGCACGATATTTCCCCTGAACGGTCCGCGACGTCATTCCGACGCGTTAAAGTTTCATGAAGAGGTCACTCCGTGCACACCGAAGCGTTAAAAAACATTGATAAAACCGGATCATCCGAAGCTGCGGTGATTCCGGAGGTCCCGAGGATGGGCATGACACACATGTCCTCGTTTACCTACCCAGCTTTGGGGATCGGCCACGCTCGCGAGCAGACACGTCGAGTGCGCGAGGACGACTGATCGGCATCGCTTTGGCGGACCGTCACCAGGACAGGTTGCGTCCTTCTCCCTCGCCCTTTCACTCGCCCCTCCTCTGTGCCCGACGCGCCGAGTGGGGGCGCTCGCGGATCTACGCGCGTATGCGCCGGCCCGGTAATTAACGTCGATTCCTCCTCCGATGTTTACATAATCCGTGGCACTCGAATTACCCGCGCCTGCGCAGGCGCGGGTACACGTGCGCATAGCTGCGCACGGAGCGCACCAAAGCCGGAGGTCAAACGATTTACCACGTTCCCCCCACACCTAAATGTCAAACTTGGAAGTGCGAAGAACTTCTTAAGGTGTTGCGAAAAGGATACGTAAGCGTAAAAGAAAGAAAGCGATTTTGGATGTCCTAATGGAGATCTTCAAACTCCCAAGATTTGTTTTATTGATAAATGGGGACGATCGGGGATCGAGCACGACTCAGCCTATTTCGAAACGGAGAAGTTAGTCGTGGTAATTACTTATGATATGCGCCGTGTCAGTTTATGAGCGTAATCAGGGCCGTGGCTCGGTAATTACGGCGAGGTTTAGGCAGTTTCGGGCAATACAGGGGTAATTAGAAGTCATATGGCGGCATCTTTGTATAAATTCCAGACAAGACGTGGTCCTCTTAAACTCTCATCTCTATGCCTATGACGAATTTTGTTTTCCTCGGTAAAGACCCTGAACTCGATCGAGTTAAGGAAAACGATCAGGAGGCGTTACTTCACCGTGGCCTCAAGGAGGAAAAAAATAAATAAAGAACGTTATCCTCCATCTCGTCCCACTCACCGCTATAAGCCTTAGGAGATGGAATTTCTTGGACCATGGGAGACAGCTTTCCGAGGAGAAGTCAGCAAACATCTACACAGGAAGAAAAGTCTCGAGTAGATTTAAATCATCGATTTTAATCGACTGATTTATATTTCTAAAACGGGAATTTCCGTCGAGCTTCCCGCAGGGCGGGCGGAACGAGAGCCGGATCGAGATCGAGGTCGAGATCCAGCCGAAGATCGAGCGCGCCCCTCGACTTGTCCTCGCGGAGAGCCTTATCGCAAAGCCCGCGGTAAAAATACACCGATAGCACATTTTCTCCGGGACGGCGCTTCTCTAACGATTAATCGACACCTTCCTCCGGTCTCGTCCATAACGATAAATAATAATCGCATCTCGTCCGGTCGGTGCTCGCCCCCACCCATCGCGAACTCCTGCCCGTCCCTGGACCACCCCGCTGCGAACCACCTAGGGGCCATTTCCGACGAATATCATCCTTCCAAAAATCCGCCACTACGAAGAAGGTCTTGACCCCCACTAAATTTCACTTTCCATAAGAAGTGATAAAAAGGCAGAAAGATGTAAAGTTCGAAACGATTCGGTATCCCCAGCTCGGAGGAAAGTTTCCTAAATATTTAGACACTTTCGTCACACCTGGAGCGTCGACCGAAAATCCGCTCCCGTCGCAGGGGGTGGTCCCACGCGTCCAGCCGGAGGTCTAGGTCGGAACGCCCGGTCGAGCCCGAGAACACGCAGCTCGACGGATGGACGACGGACGGGCGACGGATGGGCGATCGATGGGCGCCCGGGAGGCTCGGCCCCTCGGCCCGATTGCGAGTTTTCGGCGATCGAGGGTTCGATCGGCGGAAACGCGCGGGACGAGAGGGCTCGACGGAAAGTGGGTCAGGTCTCGGTCGGGTCCGGCGGAGGAAGAGCGACCCCCTCGGCCGGGGCGGGCGTGGGCCGCATCCACGGCCGCATCGACGGCCGCATCGACGGCCGTATCGACCCCGGCTACTCACCCGCGGTCGAGCCTCAGTCGGCGCTGCGCGGGCTGGGGGGCTCGGCGTCGAGGGCGACTCCCCCGTAGGCGGCGTCCTGGGCACGACCCGGGGATACCATCGCCGAACTCGCGAGCCCGCCTGCACGGTCGCGACGCCCTCGGGACTCGAGCCGCTGCGCTGCCTAGCCGAGACTAGCCGACCGCCCGCTCGGGCGCGCCGCTCGGCGGCCGAGCCGCCGAGCCGCCGACCAATCGGCGCGCGCCGCTCCACGAGCGCCGACCAATCGCCGCCCGACCCCGGCTCCCTCGCTCCGGGGTCCGCGCCCGCTGCGCCCCCTCGCCAGGAGACGCCCCGACGCGGCCGCCCCACCCCCGGCGCGCCGCGACGCGCCGCACCGACGTCAGGCCCGTGCCAAGGAGCCGCGACCCAGGCTGATCGATCCCCGATCCCGAGACGCGTCCGCCTTTATCGTTTTTCGCTTTCCTCGTAGATGCCCCGCGGATGCGGCACTCCTTTCCGCATAGAGGACTCGGTTGCCTGGCATGCTGGCGAACCGCGTCGTCCTCGCGGGAAACCAGTTTACCTCCTTCGCGTACGCTGCATGTAAAATCCATCGGCGCGACTTCGTTCCGTTTCGTCGGGTTAACGAGTAAAATGGCTCTCGTCGGCCCTCGGGAAGGCGAGGGCGAGATTAGTCGTGGGCTCCCCGATCGCTACGGGGTGACCTGCATCCTTCGCCCCGTGCCGTGGGTTGAGGTCGCGGAGAGAGAGGGAAAGAGGGCGGGAGAGATGGCTAAGGAAGCCCTTGAAATCAATAGCGTGCCGCCAACACCGCTACCCGCCCCGATCCTGCCACCGGCGGAGTTCAATTTGATCGACGCGCGACCTCGCGTGCGACGCGGTCAGTAAAAGCGCGGCCGACGTTTCTAACCTCTAACCGCCTCCAGGAGTTGTAATGACAGAACTCGGGGCGCGCGGGTTAGGTGGCGTTCTCGTAGTAAATACCCCCTCGCCCGAAGGCTCCTCTTCGTAAAGCGTGTACGAACGTGTAATCGTTAGGTCTTAGATATTAGTTTGTCTTATTCTAATCATAGATAATGGAAGGAAATTGTCGTCGATTAAGGCTTGCATTCCTGATGGTACGGTTCCAGCGTTCGAAAATCTCTCCAGGTGGGAGGTAGCGCGCTGTGTAAGTGTAAGCCGCATCGTTTGCAGGGCTCGCTGAACAAATTTATGAAGCTGTGGAACCACGTCTAAAAGAACGATTCGTTAATGTTAGAAGTAGAATTTGTAATAATTCCTGTTCGAGTATATGGATTTAGGGACGATTTGTTTACCATAAATGATCTCACGGCTAATTCGGGTAGAGCAGGTGAGTAAAAATGCAACATAGCTGCGTGTGCATTTTCCGTCACCTTCCGAAATACTTTATGCCTCGATTCCGACCACAAATCCATGGTTTCTCCGTAACCCTTTACGACGACCCATTCGATCATTAAACCTTTGAAAGCGATTACAGCTTTTAAAACGTGTCCCAATGTCACGTGCAAAACTGCATTCGATGCAAACGGACGAGACACGGATACCGTCATATCGTTGAAAAGACGATCAAACGTTGCGATCATAGAGTCGACTTGTCTATGGAGGAAATTAAATATTAATCGTTGAAATGATCTAAGTAACTTAAGGAATATAATGGGATAAAACCATACTGTGGCGGAACATTGTGACTACTAGTTTGTATCCTGCCCCTCTTGGCACGGCTAGAATTAGTGTACGACCGTTTCAACGAATTTTGGCTTAATAAAATTTGCGCAGCATTGCTGTATTCGTGAACTTTATCCGTCCATTTGTAACTATTGACGAGAGTGCCGTAGAGAGCTTGCCGTTCCTGCGTAGTTTCCTGACTTAGATATGTCGTGCTGGCTAAATTAAATGGTCCGGGTGGTGGATTTAACCCGCTTACTGCTTGTTCGACATCCCTAAACCAGAATTAATAACAACTTATAGCTATTCGCTATCTGCCGTTGCTTTTACATCTATGCATGGTTCACGACGTCATTTAGAGGATTCCAAAAATTCATGAAACTTATTAAGAATAAATTATACAGAAACAACTGTTTCTAATTACCTTAGGTTAACGCTAACTGTAGTAAGCAGTTCTTGAAGCTCTAAAATATACTTGGTTTCCTTATTTTCTTCCCCGAGATCGGAACGAATCCCATTAGCTAACGAGTCGAATACTTGGCCGACCGACGATCGCAAAACTTTAATTGCAGTTACTGCACTTTGCAATTGATCCATTTTACAATTGTTTGTTTGCGTTTATCACTACATACCGTGCCGCTCTTCAAATTCAACTCGTTTTTAAATAACCACGAAGTTACTAAAGTGATGGACACAATACTCGATAAAGGCGCCAGTCCCCACCAGAAATGAATTGCGTTACCACCAAGAGGAAACAGATGGCAAGTACGTTAGCCGTCCGCATTCTCCACTGAGGGCAGCGCAGACTCACGACGCGCGATCGTACCCGTAAGTAATCTCCCAACTCATTTCTGACTTGTTTCGGTTTTCCGCCATCTTTCCTGCTTCTTTCCGGTTGCTTTTCCATCAAGTGTAGCACGAGGTAAGGAGTGGTTTAAGAATTTTTACATTTTTAACCAGTGTCTCTAAAGTCTACGGTACAAGATTTAATTTTAATGGAACGTTTTGAGTACGAGATCATAACGATAGAGATGTTCTTAATCCATATATTCTGACATGACGCGTAACCACGTTGCATATTTTTCGTAAACACGTGTTTACCACATTTTACTTCATATTAGAAGTCTGGAAAGAATTTTGTTATGCTTTATTGCACGTTATTTTAATCCGGTGTATTCACTATAATTTTTCCAGTCAAAATGTCGTCGCACTTGAACTGGATGATAATACGCAACAATAATGCTTTCCTTCTCAAGAAGCGTAATATCAATAAACCATTCTCTACGGTAAGATACTTAAGAAATTTAATTATTTTTGGTACTGGTTTAACTGTAAATTATGGTTTCATTGAAAAAATGATTTCGTAGGAGCCTAATAACCTGACCAATCTGAGTAGCTATCGGTACTCGGGTTTGATCCACCGCAAAAGCGTGGGCATTGTAGATACTCCTGATAAGAAGGGGTTCACTGTGGTATATAAAAAAGCAAAGTGTGTAAATAAACCAGCCAAGGCAATCGTAAGGACCGAGATGAAAGCTGGTGCTCGCAGATCTCTTTACAAACTACGAACCTTGCTTGGGAGAAACAAATACCGCGTGGATTTGACAAAGGTGATTCACTTTACATCTAGATGTTTGTTTAAAAAATGAATACAGTCGATAATATATACTCATGCTCTGTTTTTTTTTCCATAGGCTGCATTACGTCGTGCCAGTGCTGTTCTACGTTCACTAAAACCATTGCCTGCTAAGAAAGCTCGCACTACTAAAAAAACTGATTAAACTCTGTTTAAATAAATATCTTTAAATCAATAGTGTGTAAAATCTCTGAATATCAAAGGTGGATACAAAAGGCAGTTGTAGACTGGCTAATATCTTATTGCTGAGATCTTAAGTTCACTAATTTTCACGATAATGGTTATACACATTTTTTATATTAACTATAGCTGTACAAGCATTTGTATGAATTATTTGACGTATGTACCTTTGTTATGCAGATCTACCTTTCTTCGTTACCTCTTAAGGTAACATTTCATAAGTATTCCTTTCCATAAATTTTTAATACAATGTGAGTATCCGTGCACATTGTATTTCTTGGTTTATTTAATGGAATATTGTAATACTAATTTTTATTTTTGTTTCATGTTGGCTTTGAAAACAAGTTTGATAGTCTCAATAAAATGGTAAGTTTGTATTGTCTATGTAATAATTTGTTCTATTGTAAATATTAATATCAGGATGAAAATCACTAAACCACCAGTTTTCTATTTTCTGAGTGCCATGATTAATACTCGTATTTGCTAATCTGAACATGGGATTACTAATTTATCTGTATCTTGTAAATTTTTCCCTTTTAAAGCATTCTCAATTTATATTTTTTAGAGTCGCATATTTCGAAGGGATCCAGGTGTCCATCTCATCCTGATCAAAGCAATAGTACGTAAGGGTTCTCATTATTATTTTTTTACACGCGCAAAACTTGCACGTTGATTAATTAAATAAAAGTTTGCAAATAATTTAGAAACTTTATGATGACACTAGACATACCACCAAGATCTCTGAATGCCATGATTATTACATGTATTTGCTATCTGATTACAAATGGCATTAATAATTTTTTTATTTTTTCCAAATTCTGGTATTTTAAAAATTATTTTGTACCTTACAGATCAGAGATTCTGCAAATCGTCAAGACTGGCTTGTATCGAGTGAAACTAATCAGGTAATCTATTACTGTAATTTTTATATGTACTTGTGAATTTATAACTCAGTTGGAGATATTTGTTTCATGCAAAAATCAAAATTTTATTTCTAAAAATATGATGACCGTACGCATACCACCAAGATCTATGAATGCCATGATTAGCTTCAGTATTTGCTATCTGATTTACCTGCAACTAGTTTAACCATGTTTCATAGTAGAATTATTTTTAAACGCTAAGTTTTTTTTTGTTACAGGGTACCACATTTGAAAGCTGGAGAATGGCAACGAAAAACTTCAACCCTTTTCTGCTTTTGTTTCAACATGGAGCGAAAGCTGACATTGGAAACGAAACTTATCTATGTAATTTATTTTTATTTTAACTCTTAAGATATAAATATCGTGCCATTTTAATGTGATATCCGCGAAATCGCTATTTTCATATTAGTACTTTATATTCATAAGCTGTTACGTGAATGTAGGATTCTACGCGTTATCCGACACGCTTGTACTTGTTTCTCCACGTATGGATAAAAAACTTAGGAATACCGTAGGTTTAATAAGCATCGAGATGAAATAGTAAGCAACGTATTACCGCTGGCTTGCGTAATGTTTCTTGCAATGGTGATATGTCGCAACGATAATAAAAGTTAACGTGGAAATTGTAGATTCTGAGCATTGCTTGCATTTCGAAACAGAGCTCCTGAAAATCGCGAAGAGATCGACCTACGGGGTTATGATTCTCTCGGTTAGAACACCGGTTTTCTCATTACGGCCAAGTTAGCGTCTTACTCTCGTCAGTTCTACTGCCTAAAGATGCGTCGAGGATGCGGAGACCCATCCAATACCTAAATTAGGATTAATTTCGAGAGCTTGGCGTCGCTTATTCGATCCCCGTTAGGGGCAACGGCATTTTTCCAATAAACGGCGCCGTTCGCTCATGCGTCGAGGGCTTAGGCGGAAGGAGATTAGGAAACCCATCGATGGTCTTTTCGGCCCGGTATTTTGGAATATGCGGAAGGTTGCGGTCGCGGGAGGCTTCGCCCTCAAATTCAATTCCAACTCGAAATCCGCTTTACCGAGTCGACGGGCGGTTGAAATTCGGACGCGAATTTGGCCGGTCTCATTACGATTCAGGCCTCCGGCGGTTTGCGTCATCGGAGAGCATACGAGTGATGTCAGTTGCCGGTCGAACTTAATCCGGATTTTTTTTTCTCCTTTTTCAACGGAGGAAAAAAATTAATTAAAATGTTAGCCACATTCGGAGTAGCGCGAGGCTTAGAGCCGATTTGCATTGTAAATTCCGTTCGTAGAACTCTACGGCGCGTCGGTTTCCGCGTCTTCGAGTACCTTTGGAATCCATTCGATCATCTTTGGACGTCGTTTCTTTCGTTCGACTGGCTTGTTTTTTTTTTTCCCGTCGGTCTGCAAAACCTCGTCCCCCTCGTTTCCATTCCGTGCTCTCATCGACTCGGTCCTCACGTTCGACATTTTTGTCCGGTCGCTAATTACTCGTCGGTCGTTCGACCCATCTCGTCCAGGACCCGTAAAGTAACGTTTGCGTCGAATTAACAGGTTCTCTCTCGTGAATATCGAATGCGTCCGAGATGTAAGCGCGGCTAAGTCTATTCGACGCCGGGAGCGGAAAATCGAGCGCAATTTTTGTCCTCCGTGAGAGCGTTAACGTATTGCAAGGCTGGGCGCTAATATTTAATCCCGACAAACACCCGGAGAAGATGTCGGTAGCCAACTCGCTGACGTCTTTTCCCGCTGAAATCGGCGGACATGGCCCCAAGAATGCGGAGTTTATCGGCCCCGAACGTTCGGGTCGTTAAGAAGCGTTCCCCTGAAGCAGCCCTCGGGGAGAACTCCTTCGCTTAAATATTTTCCTCCTGCAATCGCTCTTTGACGTTTTAATTTCCAGCCGCATCGCTCGATAACTGGCGCGCCCGACGATGCGCCGCGCACACCTTGGCCAATTTCGCGGGGGGTGCATCGCCGGACTCGCTTAGGGAAAAAATAGTCGCGATTTATCGAGAAGATAAATACCTCACGGCATAACGACGCATAGAGCGACCCTTTCGATATCACCTTAACCACTCGTCGATCGTTCCTTCTCAGAGGAGAGCGAATTCGACTAGCGCGTATCTTGGCGAGCAAACGCGGTCTTTCCGCGAAGGAACCCAGAAACCGAACGGAAAACTTTCGCACTCGGCCCTGGAATATTCACTGGCCGGTTTCTCGCGATCGTCCGACGTTTACAGAGGCCAACTCGCGTCGGATGAATCACGGAGTGCGACGCGACGACGACCGCGACCGAGGCAGGACGAGGAAAGAAGGGGAGCTCCTCGAATTCGGGCTCTGTTCTCCGCGCGCGTATAAAACCGGGGATCGGTCGGGCTCGCAGCATCAGTAGACTGTCTCCTTCGGTCCGTGAAACGAGTTAAGCATGAAGGTAAAGAAACGAGTTCCCCTCGGCGGACTTTCTCGGTTCCCGGCTCGTTGGAATTCATCCTCGACCGAAGTGCGCGTCGTCTCCTCGGTTCAAACTTTTCCGCATTTATTCCGCATATCGCGCCGGTCCTCGTCCCGCCGCGAAGGCTCTGGGACGACTCGAGGATTTTTTATCCTACCTCTAGTTATCGATACAAACGAATGCAAGATACGAGAGGAAGAGACCGAGATCCCGGTCGCGCGTTATTCCTCTATTCGAATCGTTTTACTCCACGACTCGCCATTTGCTCTTGTGGAGGTTTCTTTCCTTTAACGTCGGTCGAGGAGAAATTGTCGAGGCCGGGGAAAGGCTCGCCGAGTTGCGCAACGCGTCGTTGCTCCCGGCACTACCGCGAAAAGCGTGAAAGCGAGCTCGCTTTCGGTTCGGCGCCGGTCCGGCTCCGGTCCGGCGCCGGTCCGGTTCGACCGTCTCACGGAAGCTCTTTTCCCCGATCCAGGTCGCCGTCGTTCTGCTCGTCGCCGTGGGCTGCGCCCTCGCCGCGGAGAAGTACACCACCAAGTACGACAACATCGACCTCGACCAGATTCTCAAGAGCGACCGGCTGCTCAACAATTACGTCAACTGCCTCCTGGAGGCGGGCAACTGTACCCCCGACGGCAAGGAGCTCAAGAGTAAGTCCGTGACACGGAATTGCGCAAACCCTTGGGCAACGGACGCGCGTAGCATCCACGATTCGATACGATTGCAAACGCTCTTGCCGTTGGCGCAATTATTCCCCCGGAAAGGGGACGAATTCATCGGCGTAGTTGTCCCTCGGTGGAAGTCGACATTTCTTTGCGCGGCGGCGGATCGTTAAATCGTCCTCGTTTTTCTTCCAGAGTCGCTCCCCGACGCCCTGGCCAGCAGCTGCAGCAAGTGTAGCGAGCGACAGAGACAAGGTAGCGAGAAGGTCATCCGGTATCTAGTCAACCAGGTACGTTCACCTCTCCGTGCCCGTCACTTCTCCCCGGATGCCGGCCGAACGCAACGAGGCCGGTGAAACGGCCGGTTCGGTTTAACCGGCGGAAAGAGGGACCCCTGCACGTAGAAAAAAAACTAATTATTATCCCCCCCTGTATATATATTTTTTTTTTTTATTCGAGAATCCGGTCCCAGAGAGACGCTAAAATCCCGGGCCACGGTTTACCGATAACTTCGTCTCTTTCGATTGAAACTAATTCCCGCCCGCGCCGGAGATAAAAGGCCAAAGCTCCATCGATCCCTTTTCTCGTTATCGCGACGTAACGAACCATCTACGAGTTTGGGTAAACTTGGCTTCGTTTCAGCGTCCCGAGATCTGGGAAAAATTGGCGAAGAAGTACGACCCGACCGGCGAGTACGCCTCCAAATTCGAGGACGAGGCGACCAAGCGAGGAATCAAGATCTAAGGAACCGCGCGTTGACTTCCGACTTCTAATTTCGCGATATCTGTACGTACGAGCAACGACGAGTCTTTCGCCGGAGGAATCGCCGTCCTTGGACTGAATACCGGTCGAAGCAATAAAGGATAAACGCGACGAAATTGTGCGCCGTCGATTTACGTCTCCCCCCGTGTCGTTTCGTCGACAGATTTTAGTTAGTTTTAGGACATTTGAAATAATTACCGGATAATGGGCGCCAGGGTTATATCTCTAGCGTCTTTACATCTTGGGACACCGTTGAGACTTGAATTTGATGTTGAACGATATTAAGTCGACAGGTGCCATGCATCTTCTATATCGCAAACGTAATTTCTTACGGCAAACTACTTGGGGTTTATGTAATATACGTTAAATACCTCGAAAAGCAAGTAACTATCGAACTCCGTTTCGTTTCCACCGGGGAGCGATCGCGACGCCTCTTGCGGCGGAACGGGGCAACGGGAGCGGCAACGACCGTCGGTAAACGAACGCCGCAGGTTGCGCGATGCCGCGCCAGGAGGCAACACCGGAATTGGGCGCGTCGTTCGCGCAGCTCGAATTTTTTGTCGAACGAATTTTGCGTCTTTTTTAAACGAACTTTTTGTCGAACGAATGTTGCGTCTTTTTTAAACGGTCACTTACATTTGTATGGCGATTATTATTAGTTTTATTTTTTTTCGATTGCCCGTAACGAATTTCACGTATCACGGATCGGAAACGAAAGCCGAGTGAATTTATCGGTGCCGATCTTTGGCGTCGTTCTCACCAAGACAATAACGCTAATAACGCATAATATCCAGCGGGGGAATTTATGATCCGCGGGCATATTAACGAGCAGTTTCCCTCGTTGGATCTGGACGTTCGTTATAACTCGTAGACGCGCCGAAATTTGTGGAAATTGTGGGCGGAAATTTGGTAGACGATCTTCCGATACGTTACGGGGACGCTTCCACCGCAGAGTAAAGGCAATAACGTTCAATCGCGATCGGAAAATACGTCCTCGACTCGGCGTAGCTTCAATGAATTAATTATTCCTGGCAAATTATGCACGGGAGGGAAAAATGTTAAAAAATGGTCATCGACTCGGCAAGGATACCTCCGGATAAACCGCGTCCGCCGTTTCCGCCGCCCCCCGTGTATCGATCTCGCGGTATCGAGGGAAGATCGAAACATCTAAACCACGCGGAACGAGGGCACCTCGCGGGAACAAAAAGTGGAAAGGTAGCACAGGGGATAAACGAGGGTCGGCCATAATTTGGAGGAAACGGCCGGAGGGGGAGTCGGTGCCTCCCTGGACGCGGACGAGGCGCGGGGTGACGCGGGGTGACGCGTTTTATCACCCACTTGTGAGAAATCGCTTCTCCTCGGTCGAAGCAAATCCGGTGGGCTTTTTGCGCGTTTCGTCGCCGTAGCCAAAGTTATAGAGGTCCGATACTTTGTCAGGGATTCGAGGAGAGGGAATCGATTCGCCCGTTCCGTCCCGGGGGAGGTAAAAGAGAATATTCCGATATCTCCGATAGGCGTGCGCCGTGCGTGGCAAACAATCGGGGGGAGGGTGACTTTCACGCGAGGCGACGCGACGCCGACGTCGGGGTGAAAGGACGCTCGTCCGCATTCAAGCAGCGATCCCGTCGCGGCGTCGAGTCGACGAGATATCCTCCGAGGTCCCCTCGACGCCAACGCGGAGCCAAAGGGCGCCGCGACGGCCCTCTCCGTCCCGGAGACCTCGCTTTGTCCGCCGCCGTCTTCCGCACGCCCGGACGGCGTCGCGGCGCGCGAGTCCCGGGACGAGGCCGCCGTCGGGAAGAGCCGGGAAGAGCCGGGAAGAGCCGGGAAGAGCCAGAAAGAGGAGAAAAGGTAGCCGGTGTTCATGAATAATGCAGCCCCGAACCCCGTTGAAACAATTGCGCCCGTCGCCGTACTTCTGAAATTACATCATCAGATTTTCCGGGAAATTAAATTATTATATATTCGTCAGCACCTCGGTCAGCTCTTCGCCGGCCCCGATACGCCCCCGGCCGACTCGGCGCGGCTCGGCCATCCGCGAGAAAGACGCTCGCGGGGTGGACGGCCGTTTATCCTGAAATTAAAATAGGTCTTAGGCGTCGCTTTTCGCCGCTTCGTCTTCGTTTATCGAGGATTTGCGTGGAGCGTCGCTCGTTCCTCGTCCTCGAATGAAGACGAAGCGAGCCGATGCGATGCTCCGGAGTACCATCAATTTCGTTACGGCTCCCGGGAAATTAAGATTTGTATTAACGGCCGATGGCGCGCCCGGTCGAAGGAGCGGACCGAGAAACCAGGTCGGAGCTGCGGAACGTCCGCTGGCAAATACGCGACGGGGGGACGCCGCCCGGTCAACCGGATTATCGAGCCGCGGTTCGTCCGGGAATGTCAAACGTTCCCGCGGACGTCGGAGTACCGCGAAAGACGTTCCCGAGGGCTCGGATGGCCGATAAAAAACGCATCGGCCGCGGGCACGACGAATGGCGGAGTGCTCGGATCGATGGATAAGAAATCCCGAGGTTCGTCTTCTTGCCGGGAGGTAAACGACGAGTCCGCACTTTGATCGCGGAGGCGGAACGAGAGGTCGAGATTGGCCGATTCGTTTCCGAGCGGGAATTTTCCGTCCCAGCGGAAGAACGGCGGAATTAATTCGGAGCGCTCTCGCTATGGAAACGGCGGCCGGGTTTTCGTTCCTCGCGCGATACTTTCCGATGAAGCCGCGAATGCAGCGAACGCGGTCCCCTCGTTAGAGTCGTTCGGCTCGCAGCTCGAGCTCGTTCCCGCCTTTGATTTTTCCCGCGGCATGGATTTCTATGCCGCCGCCTACGATTCGCTAACAGAGGTCTCGTAACGCGGCCAGAAGGAAGGCAACCGGGATTTCTGGCTCTCTCTCTCCTTCCCCGCCATTGAAGGCCGAATGGAAACGGATCGTTTGGAAGAGCCGCCGCGACGCGGAAAAGCCCCTGCGGGGGAGAGTTTCGTTCTCGGCTCGGTTTACACCTTTGGTGCGCGCACCCCGGGTGGGGCTTTGTCAACCCCTCCGGGTAAACAACGGTGCCCGCCTTTCGAGCGGTCCGTCCCATGAACCGAAATCATCCCCACGTGGGGGAGCAAGATCTTGAGATTTTTTCCGACCCGATGCCTTCCTGACCCTCGCGTCAGAAGGTTCCGGGTCGACCGGGAGACATCCTTTTACGAAGTCGATCGCGGCTCTTCCGGCCGTTTTACCTGGCCCTCGAGACTCGTCCGAAGTTTTCCTCTTCCCCGACGACACCTGGGTTTCGGAGAAAGGACGTTGACGTACAGTCCCGCGGTACGACGTCTCCGGACCGGCCATTATTCCTTCGGAAGTGTCAGGACGCACCTGTGCGATGAGAAACGTGACCTCGCGTTTCCTCGGTTTCCCGGTTACGAGCTTCGGTCGCGATACGTATCGCGGATTTCCTTCGAAATTACTCCCGTTCAACGAGGGCTCGTCGCCGACCCGGAAACGCGAGTTTACTCGAATCTAAGAAACGACCACGGGGATTCGAGATCGGAATTTTTTCCTCGCGAGGATATACGGGGAAAACGAAGCGAATCGGTCGGGCAATTGCGCGACTTTTCCGCCGGCACCGCGGCGGCTCGGGAAAGAGGTCCGATGAGGTGCCCTCCCGGCGAGAAAAGAGGAAAAGTTAGGAGAGGGAACCGCCCTCGAGGTTCTCTTATTGGGGGGAAAGAGAGAAAAGTTGGGCTCCGCATGACTTATGACGCGAAACACCTCCAATACCGTGGAGTTTGCCCATGGCGCAAATGCATGCAGATCCCCGCTCAAAGTTCGATCCTGGCAGGCCTTGAGTGCGAAACCAAAGTTTCGAGGGCTCCCATTTTCAGGGGAAATTCTCTGGTCCTCGATTCGTCTTCGCCGGCAAATGCCACGGTATTTGGGAAAGAATTCCATTGGGTCGGTCTTTGCCTTCTCCCAAAATTTACCCCAAAGACGGGACATCTTCCGCTCCTCGTTAAGGCTGTACGATAAATTCTGGGGGACGAAGAGAATTTTCTGAACCAGCTCGTTAAATCGATGAAACGGTTTTTCGCGCGAGGCAAGAAATTGTGCCAAAGTGCGCAACCGCGTTTCGTGACGGCGAATATCGAGGGGTTCCGTTGCGGAATTTCTCCGCGTTTCCCCGGGAGCTCGCGTTAACCTTTGACGGAAACCGCTAAGTTGATTTTACCGCGATCGGTAAAGTAATCGAGGACGTCCCGGGTACGCCTCCGCGGTACGTATTATACGTGCGACTAATTACAAAAGCTTTGAAGAGCGCAACCGTAGTTTCCGTTCGAGGTACTCGAATGATGTCTCTCTTTGAAGCTTGCTCCCGCGTTGACGTCGGAAACGGTCCTTTGCCCCCTGGACCGCTCCATGAAGTCTTTCTTAACGCTTGCCGTTCTTTATTTTCTCCTAAGGAGTTCTCCCGAGGGGAAGCTGCAGATAAGACTTTGAATTTTTCAGCCCCTAAGGAGGCGTCCCGGGATTTACGGACGCGAAGACGAGAGACTCGGCGTCGGTCGTCTCGTTTCGGCGCACCCCTCGCGAGGGCAACGAATGCGTTCGATCACCGCATTCGCTGGCGACGCGGTTCCCCAGGAAGTGGCCCCGGAGTCGAGTAAGTGAGATATTTATTCAGAAGGAACGTAAATCTTGCCCACTTTGAAAGAGAGAGGGTCGAGTCGAGCTATCGAGAGTTCGGGAGCGGCGGCCTCGACGGCACAATGGCGCCGCGACGGAGGCGCTAACCGTGACCACTGTAAATTAGCTTTAACCAGCGCCTCGTCGGACCGCTGCGTTTCCGGGCGTCGGCAAAATAACGAATTCCAACGGTTAGCGCGTCGCGCCGGCGATAATTTACTTTCAAACATTATTATCGGCTCGAATCGCGTAACGAGATTACCTCCCTCTTTATCGGATTAATCGTTTGATTTATTGGCCGTACCGGATGCAATCACGACGACGGCGTTCCGATTCCCCGCCGCGGGTCGGCCGCGGGGCGTCGATCGTTCCAAAGTTTCCCAGGGCGATCGAGGGGCTCTCGAATCTCGAGGGCCCTCGGGGAGGGCATTGTTCGCGGAGCCGAGAAGCCGAAAGGCCTAATTGTTCGCGTCTTTTCCCTTTCGTCCGAGAGGAGAGGAGAGGAGGTTCTCGGGCTCGAGAAATCGCGACTTCTCGGCCGGCGTCCCGGCGCCCCGGCATCCCGGGACGCGTCCCAAAGCCGATCGGATGATGCGCCGCCCGTAATGTCAAAGCAAGTATTTCCAATTAAGCTCGCTGCCGCGAAAGCCAACGTTAGCTCCTCGCCGGGGGGCAATAGGGACGCAGCCCCCGGGCTTTTGAAGCGACCT